AGGCCCTGCTAAGTGACAAAGAATCTACACGTGCAAATTCCCTAAAATGTCAGAATGTTTCGTCGTAGCATCAAAGTTTATCGGTGGACGGAATGCATCTGGGTGGTAAGCGAAGGGCAGTTTACGCAGAGAAGAAGAGCAGGATTGAAACTGAATAAATAATTTGTGGACAGGCTCTCTGGAGGTTACCTCTGTTGAATAAACTTAATCACCTGTGGTGGATGGAGCCCTTCCACCACAAGGATAATCCGTCCTGGGCAAAGAAAAGAAACTTTGTCAATCTACGGACTGTCATTGAGTTGACTCCCACCCAACAGTGTTTGAACTTCTAACACGTTGTTTTGCTCGGGGCACTCCTGGCATTTTTTGTGTACCTGTTTGCAGATAAATACAGAGCATGGAGAAAGATCAGATGAGCATCTGGTCCAATGGACAATTGCCACAACACCAGACCCAGCAAAGCTGCTCCTCTTGTAGGACACTGTGTTTTGTGTTCTAGTCTCCAGCTATGTTTTGGTTTGGCAAAGATTCTTTCAGCTGTCGAAAGCTTACTGAGCAAGCATCTTCAGTGAGTTTTAGGGACTGCAGCTGTTGTTGGTGAGCCCTCCAATTGTACAGGGAGAAACGGGCCTCTTCAATATACACCCTTTGGAGAACCATATACATTTCTGGTCCCTGCATCTCCAAGAGGACATCAGAGGTTTTGGGGGATGCATCCCAAGATCTTGGAATCAGCCCAAGATAATGGAAGTGAGTGTGATCTCTCAGCATATTTTGACTCATGGTACAGCGATCACCCCATCGGTCTCACAGATCTCCTAGTTTAAACATAATAGTGGGTTGTAGTTTGACTCATGTATGTATGCATTCTTGGAGATGGGGCCAAATGCTTAAAATTGGTATATGCTCATACTGTGTATATAGGAAAGCTGAAGATTTTACTTGGAAGGTAGCAGTTGAGGCCAATACTTAAAATCCAGGGCCATGTAGCAAATTTTGGTGCTGCCTTCCATCATTCAGTAACAAGAAGCCGAAAGCACCAGCCTGAAGATGACGAGTGAGACCTCGTCGAAACGTCGCCTAGACACCCCAACTTTTACACGGGAAGACACCCGAGGACACCAAAACCTACATTCCTGTACCCGTGAAAATCTACGAAAGCATATATATATATATATTTATAAATCGAGGGTCATCTTGTTCGCTGGAGAAATCCTTTGTATCTGTCTGTATGCCTAAAGATCCTCACTGTGGAAACGGAATAAGGAAATAAGTTACTGAAACCTCTCGCGTCAGTAAGCAGTGCTCTTCAGCCTTTGATGACAACTCCCATCATCTCTGACCAAGATAGCTGGGGATGGTGGGAGTTGTAGAACAGCATCTAGGGTCCCAAGCTTGAAAAGAGATTGGGGCAATAGGGCTTGCAACATGGAAGGCCAACTCTAAAACCACTTCTGGGGGTGGGGGAAGGTTTTGGTCTGAGCCCCAGGTCGCATCAACACCATATATTGGCACATGATATACGCTGGTGGTATATACACATGATATATACGTGGGTGGGGGACGCAGGTGGCGCTGTGGGTTAAAGCCTCAGCACCTAGGACTTGCCGATCGAAAGGTCGGCGGTTCGAATCCCTGCGGCGGGGTGCGCTCCTGTCGTTCGGTCCCAGCGCCTGCCAACCTAGCAGTTCGAAAGCACCCCCGGGTGCAAGTAGATAAATAGGGACCGCTTACTAGCGGGAAGGTAAACGGTGTTTCCGTGTGCGGCTCTGGCTCGCCAGAGCAGCGATGTCACGCTGGCCACGTGACCCGGAAGTGTCTCCGGACAGCACTGGCTCCCGGCCTATAGAGTGAGATGAGCGCACAACCCTAGAGTCTGGCAAGACTGGCCCGTACGGGCAGGGGTACCTTTACCTTTACCTTTATATACGTGGGTGGCGCTGTGGGTTAAACCACAGAGCCTAGGACTTGCCGATCAGAAGGTTGGCGGTTCGAATCCCCGCGATGGGGTGAGCTCCCGTTGCTCGGTCCCTGCTCCTGCCAACCTAGCAGTTCAAAAGCACTTCAAAGTGCAAGTAGATGAATAGGTATCTCTCCAGCAGGAAGGTAAAAGGCATTTCCGTGCGCTGCTCTGGTTCGCCAGAAGTGGCTTAGTCATGCTGGCCACATGACCCGGAAGCTGTACGCCGGCTCCCTTGGCCAGTAAAGCGAGATGAGCGTCGCAACCCCAGAGTCAGCCACGACTGGACCAAATGGTCAGGGGTCCCTTTACCTTCACCTATACAGTGGTGGTTCCCAATTAGAGAAGTGCGGTGGACCCCCTGTTTTTCAAAAGCCAAGCCACGGACCTCCTGCTTTTAAAAATGTTGATATTTTTGTGGTAGTTTTTGTTATGTGAATAGTGCCACCATACCCTCCAACATTTCCCCATGCAAAACTGGGGTGTACATCTTCCGACCTGGCACCTGATCTTGAATTTGTGGGGGGGAACAATCTTGGGTTGGTTACGCAGACCAGCAATTGGGAGCCACACATATAAACTATACATGATCTCAGTTATTCTTGAAGGGTTTGAACTGTTTTTAACTTGTTTAAAAATGGTATTGTCGTGGTTTTATTATTTTTGTAAACCACATTGAGGGGTTCTTTTTAGATGTTAATGAAATAAAGACACATTTAAAGCACATTTATTCCACTTCAACAGCCCCCCAAGAATCTTGGCTACTGTCGTTGTCCCCTCCCAGAGCTACAATTCCCCATACCTATAACAAACTAAACTTCCCAGGATTCTTTGAGGAAAGTTCTGTGCTTTAAATCTTCACTATGGGTGTGACTGCAGTTTACCTTTGGGCTTCTAATAATGAGGTTAGCCTGATTTGGGCAGCTATACTTAGCAACAGACTGTAGAAACTGGCCCAGGAGGGGGTGAAGGTTGTTGAGAAAAGAAGCCCAGAGGAACAAATAGAGCTGTCCCTACCCCTACTCACAAGGCAAGTTCATGTCATTTTGCTCTGTATGTGGATCTATGGGTTCCACTGCCTGATGTGTGCAGGTGTGGCTGTATGAAAATAAAGAAATAGTAGTTACCACTACTTGTGTGTATGACTCCCTGGTGCGCTTGCCAAGGAGGAGGGCACTGGACTTCATTTCTTATTAACCGTAACAATAGGGAGGGCCCTGCTGTTGGCATACAACCAAGGAAGCGGGGGCAATTGGCAGGTCCCCAGCTAGCTCCATCCCACCGGCCGGTGTACCGGATGAACTCCAGTCCTTGGTGCCGCATGAATCAGCAACCCGAACTTCAAAAGCTAGGGCACGCTCTAATCAGCAGAGATAACGCTACGCAACAGAAGCGCCGGGGGAGTATGTGTGAGCATTTTACAAGCAGTTTATTCAGCATCAGGACAAAAGGAAAACATGTCTGATCCCTTTCATGCCCAAAGCAAGCCGGCATAAGCAATAGCTATACACAAACGGAAGTTCCCAGCAAGCTGTGCTGGAGTGTAAACAGACATGTGACACACAACAGTCTCATGCCTGCCCCTTAAGGTGGAACGGAATATCCCAGCACCTGCCCCTTCCTTTTTGCTGCTTCCCTGACTCTGGAATTAATATCTTAGTCAAGCTTGGGGTGTCAGTGGTGCCCCTGTTGAAGAGCAAATATGGAAGGCCAAAGCTAAGATGTGTTGGGAAGGGGGGGAAATGAACAATTGATCAGGGGGGGGATTTTTTATTATCCACTCAATGTACTGATCACCTGACACATTAAAAATATATATCCAAGTGACTTACAGAATTTGAAAGCATAAGATGTGAAAAGCATTACAATAAAAAAGTAACGTGAAGCCCAGAAAGAGCAACAAAAATACCATAAGTAGACAAATCATCCTAATCCATCAAATACAGAAAAGTCTTGCCAGGCACTAAAATGGTGCCAGGTGGACTTCACTGGGAGCATTCTGCAAGTGGGGAGCCACAACAGAAAAGGCCCTGTGGCTTGTCGCAAACCTCCCTCAGCAGAAGCAACTGAAGGACAAGCTCATGCAACTACTGAAAGGTCCTGGTAGGTGCAAGTAATCCAGACCATGAAGAGAGGATTGCGGCATCCGATGAGACTCACCCGTGAAGGCCTCACAAATATTTGGGTGGAATGATTATTCACAATTCATATAGGTAATTTGACTGATGGTCAACAGAACGCTGCAGTTTTCTGGGTTCTAGCCAGCCAGCCAGAAAACTGGATGGTTAAATGGTGCTGTAGGTTTATAGCATAGATAGGTCCTCAGTATGGTTTAATTTTCTTCAGTAGGCGTTTCGCTGGCCACAACCTTGGACAACTTCTGTTTTGTAATTTTAATATATGTTTGCAAGCAGAGTTGTTCATGTCCCAATAATCACTTTCATTTGGTTGTCACGAGGGGTGTTGGGCTTTTTGTCTCCTGCATTTGGCCAACTCTAGCAGCATCCTGCATCTTACAAGGTTTCTGTGTTCTCTTGTGATCTGGGCATCAGCGCAACCTGATGCCTGCATCTGCCCCAGCTGCAACAAAACACATCTCTCCTGTATTGGTCTCTACAGCCACATCAGGCGCTGTAACTCTCCAATGGTTTGGCTTCACTCCCGTTGCCCATTGCCTTCACTCACAAGGCAAGTGGGTTGGGGGGTTTTGCTACTGGGCTGGATATTAATCATCAAAATTTGAGAGGATAGCTACTTCTGGTTAAATTATTGTTCAAGATAAAAAGAAACAGGATACGGTTTATTTGGTATATCTGAAATTTCAGGTGTTTTAAGCTAATGTGCAACTCATTGAAATTAATGAGTGTGACTAAGTTACATCTGTTAATTTCAATGAGTAAACTCTGAGTAAAGCTTAATTGAATATCACCAGATAATCTCTTTTTTTTTTTTGCTATACATTAGATAGATAGATAGATAGATAGATAGATAGATAGATAGATAGATAGATAGACAGACAGACAGACAGACAGACAGACAGACAGACAGACAGACAGACAGTATGGCTTCAGAAGGAAATTAAGCAAATAGTCACTGCTAGTCATGATAACTATGTTCTACAGAAGCAGTATGTCTGACTATCCATGCTGGTTCTCAATGTGAATATCATTTTGGCATCTTTATCTGTTTATCTTTCTTGAAACAAAGATTCAATGACAGTTCATATAAAGAAAAAAAATACAAAATCCGATGCTTTATTTCATTTTTGTGGTCAGATGCTCCTTCATGTTCAGATCAGGTCTCAATATAATGATGTAGCACTTGGGAATGAAGATGCAGCCCAGAAGCCCAGCACTGGAGGCCAAGATAGAGAAGACCTGCACGGCTACCATGTATTTCCCCTTGGTGCTCAGGTAGGTGGGCACAAAGGACACCCAAACACTGCAGAAGACCAGCATGCTGAAGGTGATCAGCTTGGCTTCATTGAAGGCCCCAGGCAGCTTCCTGGCTAGGAAAGCCACCGTGAAGCAGATGGCAGCCAGGAAGCCCATGTAGCCAAGGACAGTGTAAAACATGGCAACAGATCCTTCATTGCACTGCAGGGTGATCTCTTGGGGCTGGGAGTGCATGTCAGACTCCGGAAAAGGAGGAGACATGCCCAGCCAGATGGTGCAGAGGAGAACTTGGACACTGGAACAGGAAAGGACAATGGAGTTGGCCAGACTTTTCCCCAGCCATCTCCTCGCTCTGTTCCCTGGCTTTGTGGCCAGGAAGGCCAGAATCACAGTGATGGTTTTTGCCAAAACAGAAGAGACAGCAACAGAGAAGATGATGCTGAAGGCTGTTTGTCGGAGAAGACAGGTTGCTCTTCTTGGCCGGCCGATGAAGAGGAAGGAGGACAAAAAGGAAAGCAGGAGGGAGATGAGGAGAATGTAGGAGAGGTCCCGGTTGTTGGCTTTGACAATAGGAGTTTCTTTGTACTTAATGAAGATTCCTAAAATAAATCCTGTGGTAAAGGTCAAGTATATTGCAACAGAAGCCAAGAGAATCCCCAAATATTTGTTAAAGGATAGGAAGATGATAATCTTGGGCACACATTGATCTTGATCCTTGTTTGGATACTGATCTTCTGAACATTCAGTGCAGTGGTTGGCATCTGAAAAGAGCAAGAGTGACTTCAATATCCCCAACACATACTTTATGTACACATCAGTTATCAATCTCTCTCTCTTTCAGAGCATGTCTAATAAAGATGTCTGTTGCTAAGGAAACTGTTGCTGGGGAAGACCTTTTTCTGGGACAAAGCTTGTTGCTAGGTGAAAAATTATACAAGGATCATTTCAAGTCTATTTTTAGACAACACGAACAGCACGTGCTGGTTCTTCTATTTGGGGAGGGAGCACTGGCTACCAATTATTTCCCAGGCTTAATTCAAAGTTTTGACCTATAAAGCCTTAAACGGCTCAGGACCACAGTACCTCAAGGACTGCCTCTTTCCATATGAACCTACCCTATCATCATCTGAGGCCCTTCTTCGTGTGCCTCCTCAAGAGGTTCAGAGGGTGGCAACGTGAGAACAGGGCCTTCTTTGCAGTGGCTCCCCATCTGTGGAATGCTCTCCTCAGGGAGATTCGCCTGGCGCCTTCATGATACACCTTTAGGGGGCCAGGCAAAAACATTCCTCTTTAACCAGGCCTTTTGCCTGACCCGATCTACATACCCATGTACCTGTGGGACCGCCTCTCCTGGTAGGCCCCACGGAGGACCTGAAGGTCCACAAATGACAACATTTTGGAGGTCCCAAGTCGCAAGGTGGTAAGACTGGTCTCAACTACGGCCAGGGCCTTTTCAGTACTGGCCCCGACTTGGTGGAACGCTCTGTCACAAGAGACTAGGGCTCTGCGGGACTTGACATCTTTCCGCAGGGCCTGCAAGACAGAGCTGTTCCGCCTGGCCTTTGGTTTGGACTCAGCCTGACCCATATGTCCCCCCCCCCCTTATGGTTTTGATGAGGCTGCATTTTAAATTGCATTTTAACCTGTATTTTAAATTGGTTTTTTCCCCTATTATGTTTTTACTGTAATTTTACTGTTGTTAGCCGCCCTGAGCCTGGCTCTGGCCGGGGAGGGCGGGGTATAAATATTATTATTATTATTATCATCATCATCATCATCATCATTATTATTATTATAATACCCTTTTTTGAATGCTGCCTCTTTTGGGGGGGGGTTGTTGGGTTGTTGCTTTGATTTGATGTGTGTGGTCTTTTGTGTGAACCGCCTTGAGACCTTCGGGTACAGGGCGGTATAGAGATTAAATAATAAAATAATAAGAACTACACAAGGATCCTTTCAAGTCTGTTTTTAGACAACACTGACAGTTAGCAGGTGCTGGTGCTGCTTATTTGGGGAGTGAGGGCCGTAGTTCAGTGGCCTGGTATCCACTCTGCATGAAGAAAGGCCCCAATTCAGTCCTCAGCATCTCCACACGTGGCTTGGAGAGCAGTTGTCAGTCAGTACGCAGCAAGATGGGCCAATGATATACTGATATACTGGAAGGCAGCTTCTTACGTACGTTTTCCTCTGCAATCCCCCCTTACCTTCCATACACACACACACACACACACACACACACACACACAATTTCAACATAACAAATTATCAAAACATTATTTTCCCCCCTTTCCCCCCCTCCCACCTCCCCAACAAACCCTTCCTCCCCCCCCCCAAGACTTCCCTCAGCTCCTCTCTGATTTCTCAACTCATGTTGTTCTCTGCATATTGTAAAATTGTATGCATCCTTGTATTATCTATCTAATTTGTTGACCCTCACTAAATTTGTGAATGTTTATTCAAAACCTGCCAAGGAGTCCAGTTCATTTTGTTGTCTTTTTAAGTAATTTGTAAAAAGTTCTTGTCCTACAATCCCTAACAAAAATGCTTCTGGTTGTTGTTGTTTTTTTACAAATGCCATTTAAAACATTTTCTTCAACTCATTATATATCATTTCCCCTTTTTTTTAATTTTTAATTTCTCTGCATTCCCACCACATATGGTAAAAGGTCCCTTCCTTTTCTTCACATTTCCAACATATATTTGATCCAGTTTTATACATTTTTGCTATCTGTACTGGTGTTACATACCATCTATACATCATTTTCATGTAGTTTTCTTTCAAAAAAGAACAATCTGTAAATAATCCCCTCTTACCTTCCTGAGCGGAGATGGTCCCTTCAGGACACAGAGCACACGCATAGCAGCAAAGCGGCTTCCCTTCTTGAATCACTTTGACGTACCCAGGAGGGCAGCTTCTGGTACACCTTGAAGGGGGCAGCGGCTGACCATAAAGAGAAGGAACATCGAGGGGGAATGTTTGGGGTGTGTTGGAAAGCTACAGAACTGAGTCGGAGACTTGAAAACCAAACAGTCACCCCTCTGCTTCCAGGCCTGCTTTCATGAGCAAATGGCGGTGACTCGTCCCTTCTTTAACCATGTCTATTTAGCACCATCCCCAGAATCGTTGATAGGTAACATTTAGCCCTATGGTTTGTTTTTGGGTACCCCCCCTTCCTTAATCCTGTATTATTTTATTCACATAATATGCATTCTTTACAACAAACTCCAAAATAAACAGACAACTCCAAAATAAAAGCATATGCAACAAAACCGTAAGTCTCGTGTTTTCATTTACACTGATCTCCTCTCTGATACCTTTACTTGATATTTCTTGCTGCTTTCCTTATAGAATCTTTATAAAAATCTAAATCTCTTAAATCCTATACTAATCTTTAACAATTTCAATTAATCCCTTCACCTCCCTCCCCCCACAGCCCAGTACTTCCCTCCACCCGTGTGCGATCTTCTTTGCCTTCTATTATTTTTGTTATTGTTGCGTTATTCACTTTATTTGTTATTCCATCCTTAATATATTATTATTCTATCTCCTTGCACCTTTTAGCTAAAACTGTCTAAGTTGTTTTTTTAATTGTTTAACCACATCAGTTAACAAACATGGATACATATGCTATAATGTTATTGTTTTAGTTAAATAAATTGTTATTAAGGAAATGATTATTTTTCCTCCTTCCAATAAATTACAGCAGAATGTTGTCCAAATACAAACAGTTAACTTATTAAACTTCACAATAATTTCATAGCTGTCTATGTATTTCTAATAGTATAACCAAATCAGTAATTTTTTATATAACTGTATAAACTACTCTGAAAATTTATTATTCCAAAAACGAAACCTTCATCTGGTTGTAAATGTTAAGGTTATACCAGCAAGAATGAGTTTTTCTGTAAAAAAAAAAAAAGATTTAAATCAAGTGTTACTGACTAGTGATTTAAATTGTGATTTAAATCATGATTTAGATCAATTTGATTTAAATCAAATCCACTCTGCAACAGGGCATAAAACCCAGTATTTTGTAGAACATTGGTGGAGGGTGTCAGTAGCATAATGTTGCCATCAAAGTACCTATAATGTGTCTACGGATGAGACGAGCCCTGATCTTTACTTCTGTAGAGTGAGAGCGTCACAAGGTGTCCTTGCAAATAAGAGACAGTGTTCTGATGGCATTTAGTACATGTGGTTAAGGGGCAAAGAAACCTTCCCAAACATATTTTATACAGTACAGTGGTACCTCAGGTTACATACGCTTTAGGTTACATACGCTTCAGGTTACACACTCCACTAACCCAGAAATAGTGCTTCAGGTTAAGAACTTTGCTTCAGGATAAGAACAGAAATCGGGCTCCAGGATCGCGGCGGCAACAGGAGGCGCCATTAGCTAAAGTGGTGCTTCAGGTTAAGAACAGTTTCAGGTTAAGAACGGACCTCCGGAATGAATTAAGTAACCCAAGGTACCACTGTAATCTATATTTCTAAATTCTATGGCTTTCCTCACCCGGTTAAGCTCCCTCAACCACATGGAAGCATCTTCATCAACGCTGAAACTTTTGTCTGGGAATGCCTGTCGCTCTAGACTCCCAATTCTCCGTGAAGCTACTGAAGTGTTGGGCCACACAACCCAGTTCAGAATATCGAAATTGGCTGACAGTTCCCCGTCTCCATCCAAATACACTCCATCCAGTGAAGTATTGTAAGATCCAAAGCTTCTCAGAAAATGGTGAAACTAGAATGACAGAGAGAAAAGGAGAAGTGAGTGTCCTATCCTTCTGGAATTGTACTCCATCTTTTGCTTATATGCATCTATTAAAACAACAACCCGCAGTCCATTTTTGAATCCCTACATTCTGCTTTGGCATTTTGGGAAAGGCTGACATTCAAATCAATGGCACCCATGGGTGTTTACTAATACTTCCTATGATGCCCATTAAATATCTCACAAAAGTTCACACTGCACACAAGACTCTTCCTGTTTGTACAGGCCAGGCCTCTCTTATGCAGAACATTAATGCTTAAACTTGCCAACATTTCATTGGGTGCCAAAAGTGGACACTGTCAGGAACCATGCTGAGGAGGGCTGCACTAAGGAGGAATGGTGGAAGCCTCCCCCTCCCCCTGCTCCTGATCAGGATCCTGAATCTTTCCATGAGCAGGAGGACAGTATAGATTTGAAACAGTGGTTTGCAGAGGGACATAGTTCAGAAGGCAGAAGCTGGGAAGTACTGGATGGGGAACAGCTAGAAGGAGAAGCACTGGGAGTGAGTTAACAGGATCACTTTCTCTAGAAAGCATTCATTCGCTCAGCCCAAGGTCATGAAGAGCAGATAAGGTGGCAGCACAGAAAGCACAGTGGTTATGAGATCAGGTTACAAGACGCGATAGTGACATGGGTGACTAGGGAGGAAGTGGGTGGAAACCTTAATTGGGAGCACCTTCATTCCTAGGAAATGGATTCTTTGTTCTCTCACTGTGATCATTACAGCTTCTAACTGGTAAGAAGACTCCTCTCCCTTTGTTCTGCTTATCTACTGCCAAAGTGGGGAGGAAGTCAATTCCCTGAAGCCTGACAGACACCCAGCTTCCCTTATATTATGAACAGAGGAAAGGTGTAAAGAGCCTTTGCCTATGAGTGAGCATGGTGGTGATGTGACATAGGTATCATTCTCCACAATGATGAGGTAATTGATAGGGCATACCCAAAGGGCAGGACTATAGTTATGCAGAGGGAGGTTTGGTTGAACATTAGGAGGAGCTTAAGAGAGAGGTACAGTGGTGCCTCGCAAGACGAAATTAATTCGTTCCGCAAGTCTCTTCGTCTTGCGGTTTTTTCGTCTTGCGATGCACGGTTTCCCATAGGAATGCATTGAAAATCAATTAATGCGTTCCTAGGGAAACCGCCTTCAGACCAGGTCCGGGGACAGTCTGTCCCCGGACCTCTTCTGAAGGCTGGGGGGGGGGAAACAAGGGCTTTTCTTCCCACCCCCAGCATTTTAAAAAACCCCGGACAGCGGAGGACTTCTCCGCTGTCCGGGGAGATCTTAAAATGCTGGCGGGCGGCATTTTAAAATCGCCCCGGACAGCGGAGGACTTCTCCGCTGTCCGGGGCGATTTAAAAGCCCCTGGGAAGGCAGGCAGGGGGGACAAAGACTTTCGCCCCCTGCCCGCCTTCAGAAGGTGTTCCCGCCCCCCGCCCCGCTTCGGAACAGCGTTCCGAAGTGGGGCGGCTGGGGCAGGTGTCCCCGCCCCCCCTCCCCGCTTCGGAACAGCTTTCCGAAGTGGGGCGGCTGGGGCAGGTGTCCCCGCCCCCCCTCCCCGCTTCGGAACAGCTTTCCGAAGTGGGGCGGCTGGGGCAGATGTCCCCGCCCCCCCTCCCCGCTTCGGAACAGCTTTCCGAAGTGGGGCGGCTGGGGCAGATGTCCCCGCCCCCCCTCCCCACTTCGGAACAGCTTTCCGAAGTGGGGCGGCTGGGGCAGATGTCCCCGCCCCCCCTCCCCACTTCGGAACAGCTTTCCGAAGTGGGGCGGCTGGGGCAGATGTCCCCGCCCCTCCCTCCCCGCTTCGGAACAGCTTTCCGAAGTGGGGCGGCTGGGGCAGGTGTCCCCACCCCCCCCCTTCGGAACAGCGTTTTAAAATGCTGGGGGTCGGGAGCGAAGCGCTGCCGACCCCAGCATTTTAAAATCTCCCCGTGTCCCGGGAAGATTTTAAAATGCTGGGGGTCGGGCTGCCGACCCCCAGCATTTTAAAACCTTCCCGGGACACGGGGAGATTTTAAAATGCTGGGGGTCGGCAGCGCTTCGCTCCCCGACCCCCAGCATTTTAAAACCTCCCCGGGACACGGGGAGATTTTAAAATGCTGGGGGTCGGCAGCGCTTCGCTCCCGACCCCCAGCATTTTAAAATCTCCCCGGGACAGAGACTTCTCTGCTGTCCCTTGGAGATTTTTAAAATGCTGGGGGTCGGCAGCGAACGCTTCGCTCCCGCCCGCCAGCATTTTAAGATCGCCCCCGGCAGGCGGGGGGAAGGCAGGCGGGGGGGAGCAAAGACTTTTGCCCCCCGCCGGCCTTCAGAAGAGGTCCTCTTCTGAAGGCCGGCTGTGGGCGAAAGTCTTTGCTCCCGACCGCCAGCATTTCCCTATGGGCTTTCGTCTTGCGATGCAAGCCCATAGGGAAATTCGTCTTGCGAAGCGCCTCCAAAACAGAAAACCCTTTCGTCTTGCGGGTTTTCCGTCTTGCGAAGCATTCGTCTTGCGGGGTACCACTGTATGAAAGACTATTACTCTCTCATAGCAGAGTTAGCACAGTGGTGATAGCTGCAAGCATATTAAAACATGGTTAGATTTACATCTGCCCCCATCCACACGAAAACCTAGGATAGAATAAATCACAGAGACTTAGCTTTGCAATTAGGTGAATATTTTACTCCTAGGGCTTCTTGAAGCTACATGAAATGACTACTGGCAGTAAAATGAAGATGAGAAAGGTTCCAAACAACTAAAAGGAAAGAACGTTGTTTCCTGCCAGATGGGTGGGGTATAAATAATAAATTTATTATTCCATTATTATTCCTTACAAACGGATCATGCAATACTTGGGTTAGCAAAGATGCGGGCTATAAAATCTCATTTTAGAGAGATTCCGTCCATTTACAAGTAGCCATGTCCACATGGCTCCTTCTTGATCCAGGAAGCACAAAGACAAAAGAGACTGAGAAAGGGGGAAGCAGAGTCTGCTGAGAGCCTGAAAAGCCACACTCACTCTGCTAACGGGCTGAGGGCCCAGGTTAGCCCTGTCATGCACACAAGGGTGAGCCAGTAACTGTATATTACAACTGCTGGCTCTCCCTGTTACGATATGGATACAACGCAGCTGCAGACTGGCAGCTTGGTGAAAACATCACATGATGTGACTAGCTGTGGGAAAGAATCTTCCCGGAAGTTCACAGGCTACTCAAAGCTGTGTTCTGTGTGTAATATGAGACCTTCCTGTTGCGTATGTAAAGGAAGTCTTTGTCACTTGCTGGAAGGAGACTGAAGTGATCGGACATGTTTTCTTGTAGTGCTGTAATGTCAGAAATAAACAGAATGTAGAAGGACTTTCTGACTATTCTTCTTTCCCCTGCGAAGGGGTAGACGGGGGTGTGCATTTTCCACGCTGGGAAATGTCGCCTATCAAGGTCTGCCTGGACTGTCTGGGATTGCAGCCAGAGTAGATCAACCGGTAAACAGCACGGGAGTCTGGGAGAGTTGCCAGATTCTCCCGAGGTCTTCAAGGTGAGACTGGACCACCATCTGTGGGGAATGCTCTCAATCTGAGTTTCCTCCAAAGTGCAAGAGGCCTACAACCTCCTCCCAACACTATGATTCCAAACTCCATAGTTCCATATTGGAGCTATTTTATCGTTTTCAGTGGAGATAAAAGGTCGTACCTGCCATGCTTGCAGCTTCTGAACTCCCACCTTGCTTCCTTCAACCAACATCACCCGCTTGAATCTGGAGGAATATGCAGCATTTAAGGCATGCGCCAGGGCATGGATACTCCTGTAAGCATTGTAGTTGTCTTGGGAGAGAGCTGGTGCGAGCATATCCAGGGGCAATTTCTGTTCACATCTTTCCCGTTCTTTCACAGTCAAGACGTGCTTCTTAAAGAAACAATGGAACGCCTTCTTCAAGTAAGGAGTGACGTGACTCAGCTTGAAATGGTCATGTTTTGGAATATACTTTGTATGGATTAAGAAGGAAAAAAACCAGTGGCCGTGCTGGAAGAGAAACTTGCTGTCAGACAATGTTGAGGTGAGGTCCCACAAAGCTGTTGTGATCCAAACCTTCCCGTCAATAGGCTGTATAAACAGTTTGAGTATTATATTTATGAGGTATATCCCATTGTAGAAAGAGCGGATTTCTGCATAGTAAACAAATACGTTGACTTCTTTCCATGGGAGAGCTGAATCGAGGGTCATTGACAAGTCAGGCACAATCAGTTCTGGGAATCTCTGTGAGATGGCAACACAAACACCATTCGAGGTGAGCATAGGTGTCAAGGCACTCAGGAACTTTTCTCCGTTGTCATTTTCTGGGGCAAAGAGACTGACCCACGTCCATCTGAAATGCAGGAGCAACTTCACAATCCCTGTGTATTGGTGGTCATCTTTTGGGAGCACCCGGTAGAAAAAAGGGAACTGAGTTTTATCATTCCGGTCATGGGGAGACAAAACTGTAACTAACCTGGCAAGGAACGTAAGAGATGAATGTTTCGCTTAGTTTTCAGGGCAAAGCTCAGAAACCTGTTGAGCTAACTTACTAATAAACTGAAGAGTGCATGTGATTAGGGTGAATGAATACTTAATATTCATATACCTGAAGTATACCTGAAGGAGCGTCTCCACCTCCATCGTTCTGCCTGGACACTGAGGTCCAGCCGCCGAGGGCCTTCTGGCGGTTTCCTCGCTACGAGAAGCCAAGTTACAGGGAACCAGGAAGGGGCCTTCTCGGTAGTGGTGCCCACCCTGTGGAATGCCCTCCCACCAGATGTCAAAGAGAAAAATAACTACCAAACTTTTAGAAGACATCTGAAGGCAGCCCTGTTTAGGGAAGCTTTTAATGTTTAATAGGTTATTGTATTTAAGTGTTCTGTTGGAAGCCGCCCAGAGTGGCTGGGGAAACCCAGCCAGATGGGCAGGGTATAAATATTGTTATTGTTATTGTTATTGTTATTGTTATTGTTATTGTTATTGTTTATTACACTGCAAGGAAAAGAAGGAAAGATCATCACATCAAACAAAAGTGTGGCTGTTTTCTCCCTTGTCCACATATTATCATTTTGAATTTATCCTCATTAGTCCACACTGGTGCATATTTGAGTTGATAAAGAAGACTTAGCAACTCCTGTACTTCAATATAAACTGCTAAATACTATATCACACACACACACACAGAGAGAGAGAGAGAGAGAGAGAGAGAGAGAGAGAGAGAGAGCGCTAGAGAGGTGAGCAGAAGTTTTATCTCCTTTACAGCCAAGGCCTTTTAAAGCAAAATGTAACACAATTCACACCTGTGGAATTTTGTAGATGCCCAACATGTTTGAAATATGGACAGATAGCTCAGAGTCAGCCCCTTCAAGGACAGCCAGCAGGTCATTCTGCCTTCCACACCTGTAGTTTGGAATATTTGCATTCCCAGTAGATAATAGGTCTGCCATGGCATCGTATGTGATTCTTGCGTTGTAATAGTTCTCAAAGATGTTGTAACCCAGGGTGATGTTGGGCAAGATCCTGGGAACCTGGTTGATCTCATGAATGGCAAAAAGGAATGCCAGATTGTCGAGTAAATTTGTTTCCCGTCTTCTGCAAGGAAGAATACACGGCATCATAGTATCACCCTCTATTTAACAAAACTATTCCTTATTCTGCAACTTGAAGGGTATTTCCAGGCGATTGGAAACCTCTTGAGATTAATCTTAGAATGATACTCACGCTCCATCAGAGTCAGAAGCCCTATAGCTTTATATTGGTACGTAATGCCCTTCAATACTGCTTGTGACTGGTAACGTTTCGGGGGTACACATACGGCTTCCATTCCAGTCGCTGCGTGTCCTGTCACTTCCTGCTGAAACCCTGTAACGTCCTTGCCACAAATCGTGTGTGTGTGTGTGTTGTGTTATTATTTAACCTCACATTTGATGTGCTATATAGTGCAAGGGTGCCCATCGAGATGATAATAATAAATATTAAAGATATGTAATCACTTGAAAGAATCAGTTAGGCCTAGGATTAAATTGGGATTAAATAAATAAATAAGAAAATGTACGATAAGAAAAGTTAGGAAATAGGACTATGGCTGTGATATGCTTTTGTGAAATAATGATATTGGAAACTGCTATATATAATTTATAAGAAACACAGATGGAAGAAGTCAAGTAATATGTCTATGAAGATGGATTTTGATTAATTAAGTTTTTGTTTATGTGGTGATTTGATGCATTTTATGTTATATGTTCTTTTTCCTTTTTCCTTTTTCCGTTTCATTCTTTTTTCTTTATTATTGTTGGTTCTTTCTTCTGTTATGTTTGTGTATGGAAAATAATAAATATTATTGTAAAAAAGAAATAATAATAATAATAATAATAATAATAATAATAATAATAATAATAATTTATACCCTGCCCATCTGGCTGGGTTTCCCCAGCTGCTCTGGGCGCTCCCAATAGAATATTAAAACACGATAAATACATCAAACATTAAAAATTTCCCTAAACAGGGCTGCCTTCAGATGTCTTCTAAAAGTCAGATAGTTGTTTACTTCCTTGATATCTGATGGGAGGGCGCTCCACAGGGCAGGTGCCACTACCGAGAAGGCCCTCTGCCTGGTTCCCTGTAACATTACTTCTTGCAATGAGGGAACCACCAGAAGGCCCTTGGAACTGGACCTCAGTGTCCAGGCAGAATGGTGAGGGTGGAGACGCTCCTTCAGGTATGATGGCAATAATGCAACATCATTAAAGGTAGAGGGACCCCTGACCATTAGGTCCAGTCGTGACCAACTCTGGAGTCGTGGCGCTCATCTCGCTTTACTGGCCGAGGGAGCCGGCATACAGCTTCCGGGTCATGTGGTCAGCATGACTAAGCACTTCTGGCGAACCAGAGCAGCGCACAGAAACACTGTTTACCTTCTCGCCAGAGCAGTACTTATTTATCTACTTGCACTCTGATGTGCTTTCGAACTGCTAGGTTGGCAGGAGCAGGGACCGAGCAACGGGAGCTCACCACGTCATGGAGATTCGAACTGCCGACCTTCTGATCGACAAGCCCTTAGGCTCTGTGGTTTAACCCACAGCGCCACCCGCGTCCCACGCAACATCATTAGAGAAGCACTAATACTGTATCAGTGACATCTTGCAGAATGCACCCATTTGGAGAGACCCTCAGTGGCAAAGCACAAGTTTTTCATGCAGAAGGTGCCAGGCTGCGTCCACAGCACTTCCACTTAAAAAGAACTGGGTGGAAGGAGATGTAAAAGATTACAACTGTGGGAGACCCCAAACAGTTTCTGCCAGTGAGAGTAGACTGTCACAGGTGATATAGACCAAGGACTCTTACCTGGTAGAAGGCAGTCCCTACAGCTGCAATCAAAACAGACTCAGGACTATTTACTAGGCAGTTACATGCAGTTTAACTAAAGACAAACCACTTTAGTCTGTCTTGGATTACATTGTTTGAAAGCCAGAAGCATTGTTGTTGTTTTTTACTCCTTTATATTAAAATTATCCTGGGGGCGGGGAATAGTCTAATTCTTTTTTAATCTGTTATCATAGTACAGTGGTACCTCAGGTTAAGTACTTAATTCGTTCCGGAGGTCCGTTCTTAACCTGAAACTGTTCTTAACCTGAAGCACTGAAGCAGGACCTGGAGGAATTTTACCCTTATGCTCTTCATATAATCAGTTATCCATATAATCAGTTATCAGTTATCAATATATTCATATATATCCATATATTTTTACAATGATTTTATAATCCATGTTTGAATCATGAAAGCTTCTGCCTAGCTTAAAAGCAAATTGCTTAAATCTGCAAGGTGAACTTTGTCCCAGTACCTCCTTGCTCTCTCCCTATCTCACTGAACAAGAAGGGAAGCGATAAATCTGATGTGCTGGTACATTTCCCCCCTTGTCCAGACAAGGTCTGAGCAGTGAAACAGGAAGGTGCTAACCGCAGAATGTCCCAGTAACAGATGGCCGCATGGGAGTAACTGTTAAAGTTCCTTTTTGCCTTAAGTCTCTATTTCTTAGCATAAAATCTGGGGGAAAGGTTGGACTGGTGTTCAAACCCAAAAGCAGAAGTTGGGAGAGAACTCTTTGTACGGTCAGGAGCAAGGCTTGTATGCACTCATTGGCTTATTTTGCTGCCGTTCGCAATTGTATCCTATTATGTCATGGGTGGCGCTGTGGGTAAAAGCCTCAGTGCCTAGGACTTGCCGATTGAAAGGTCGGCGGTTCGAATCCCCGCGGCGGGGTGCGCTCCCGTTGCTCGGTCCCTGCTCCTGCCAACCTAGCAGTTCGAAAGCACCCCCGGGTGCAAGTAGATAAATAGGGACCGCTTACTGGCGGGAAGGTAAACGGCGTTTCCGTGTGCTGCGCTGGCTCGCCAGATGCAGCTTTGTCACGCTGGCCACATGACCCGGAAGTGTCTCCAGACAGCGCTGGCCCCCGGCCTCTTAAGTGAGATGGGCGCACAACCCTAGAGTCGGACACGACTGGCCTGTACGGGCAGGGGTACCTTTACCTTTATGTCATGATCTGTGATGTATGTTCTCAGGTATAAAAGCCCCTGGGCGATAGGGCTCGGGGCCCAGTCTTTTGGAAAGGATTCCACTGGGTCAATTATTGCTCAGCAATAAATCTCACTTTCTTTTTCTCCACTGCTGCGTCTGTCAATTCTTGGACTCTATTTGAGTTGGTCACTGGTACCTTAAAAATCCTTGCAAGAGCATCACTTTAGCTAATGGGGCCTCCTGCTGCTGCAGTGCCGCCGGAGCACAATTTCTGTTCTCATCCTGAAGCAAAGTTCTTAACCTGAAGCACTATTTCTGGGTTAGCGGAGTCTGTAACCTAAAGCGTATGTAACCTGAAGCGTATATAACCCAAGGTACCACTGTATACTGTTTAAATAAACCTTACCCAGCTGGTGAAAAAAGCATGGTTGGAACTAGATGATGATGTCCGTGAGTGTTCAGAATCATACCTGGTTGGCAAATCAGGGGGAACATCGGGAGAAACTTGGATTTATCAAGGACACCTGTCAGGAAATAGCCATGCTCCCTTCTATCACTGCATTGTTACTTACATTTTAATGTGGATCAGAGGAGTCTGGGAAAAATTGCTTGGCTGGACAATAGGATTGACCGTAGATGTGATCCCGCCGATGAGGTGGTCACCGGCTCTGTAATAATTCAAAGGATCGTATTGATCTGTCACTAAATTCAATGGGCATTTTACCTGCAGCACCCCACAGGCTACACAGGGGAGCAGGAGCAGCAGCAATATTGGGGTGGGCATTTTTGCTACAATCGCCCACCTCCCTTTGTCCTGTTCTCTATGAAGAAGTCAAAACAGACTTACAAGACCAAAGTTGTGGCCAGTGCTAATTCAGATGGCCAGTCTAGCCAGTGCTTCTGATATTAAATCTGATATTAAACTGCAGTGGCAGCATCTCTGCCTGCCTCAAACCCCAGCCTAAGTTCTTGGAGGTACAGGATATATTTATGTACCATTCTCTGCCATTTTGGTGCAAGAAAATTGCTTCCAATTCTGATGTTTCTGTTACCAGCATCAAATGTGACCCTTGGGCTTTGGCAGGAAGAGGAATAAATCACCATGATTTCCGTAATTACGAATTGGAAGAATTACCTGTGTTAAATCTCTGCGGCTCCATACACAGATGCCTGACAGGAGGAAAACATGTTTGTGAAAACTCAGCAATGAGCTCTAAACTTTTCCACTGTACAATTTTGGGGTGTGGGGGAGCATAGGGAAGTTTAGCAAGAGTTTACTGGAACTGAATGGGGGGGGAATACGAAAAACTAGCCCACCTGTGAAAGATTTTTAAAGAATAAAAATAATAATATAATAAAAATGCTGGTTGACCGCAAAAGGCAGGGGAAGCTAGTCTCAGACAGACACAGAGAGGCAATGAGATGCAGGTTTCCAATATTAGAAGCGCTGGGAAAGGCAGTCATATAAATATTTTTTCATTGATAACTTGTGCATCCCTAATTTCAACAGTCTTGATGTGTTCTCATTGAGCGGGTATCCTTGTGGCAAGTCCAAAGTTCTGAAAACTTGTGGGGAGGGGCATTTCTGGCACCTTTTTCCCTAGGAAAAAGCGCTGATCGGACCCATAATAAAGCAAAACTTAAAAGGGTCAGATGTAGGGCTGCCACCCATCTTGTATAAAACAGGACAAGAAAGAAGATTCCACCTAAACATTAGGAAGAACTTCCTGACAGTAAGAGCTGTTCGACAGTGGAATTTGCTGCCAATGAGTGTGGTGGAGTCTCCTTCTTTGGAGGTCTTTAAGCAGAGGCTTGACAACCATATGTCAGGAGTGCCCTGATGGTGTTTCCTGCTTGGCAGGGGGTTGGACTCGATGGCCCTTGTGGTCTATTCCAACTCTATGATTCTAGGATTCTAGGATTCTAGGATTGTACCTTAAAGGTAAAGGAGACCCTGACCATTAGGTCCAGTCGTGGCCAACTCTGGGGCTGCGGCACTCATCTTGCTTTATTGGCTGAGGAAGCCGGCGTACAGCTTCCGGGTCATGTGGCCACCATGACTAAGCCGCTTCTGGCAAACCAGAGCAGTGCACAGAAACGCCGTTTACCTTCCTGCCGGAGCGGTACCTATTTATCTACTTGCACTTTGACGTGCTTTTGAACTGCTAGGGTGGCAGGAGCTGGAACTGAGCAAGGGGAGTTCACCCTGTCGCGGAGATTCGAACCACAAACCTTCTGATCAGCAAGCCCTAGGCTCTGTGGTTTAGACCACCAGTACCACCCGCGTCCCATAACATTGTTAGGTTCCTCTTAAACTAGTTCCTGCAAGCTTTGCAGTCAAGCCGTACCCTTGCATACGTGAGACTCGCCTTACTGATAGTGGGTCCAGCAGAATTTCTACCTCAGAAGGCACCACGCAAGGGAATTTAGGTTTGGGGACATAAAGCACCCCTGACCAGATACTTCATTCAGCCTTCTCTGGAAGGACATCTCGGAAGACCAGTCCCAAGTAGAGAGAGTGCGGGGATTCGAACCGCCGACATTCTGATCAGCAAGTCCTAAGCTCTGTGGTTTAACCCACAGCGCCACCCGCGTCCCATTTTTATGTTATTTTTATGTAAAATGTTGTGTCCTGTATTGATTCAATACAGGACAGTTTGTCCTGTATTTCCCCTATGCTCCTGTACAGTCTTTCTCTCGGCCAAGTTAAGGATCCTCTCCCAATGCCCCCCCCCTTTCTAGGGGGAAGCCACTGCCAGCTTGGCTGGAGAAACTGCCTCTTGCTTCTTTCCTTTCCTCCCACCCCCCTTGCTCCTTCTCAGACCGAGTCTCTAGAAACAAGCGGTTTTGTGTCAGTGTAGCCCAGAAGCCCCAATCCTGAACACTGTTGTCTCCAACTATGAGCCAGTGTGGTGTAGTGGTTAAGAGTGGTGGACTCATAATCTGGTGAACCGGGTTCGCTTCCCCGCTCCTCCACATGCAGCTGCTGGGTGACCTTGGGCTAGTCACACTTTTCTGAAGTCTCTCAGCCTCACTCACCTCACAGAGTGTTTGTTGTGGGAGAGGAAGAGAAAGGAGAACGTTAGCCGCTTTGAGACTCCTTAGGGTAGTGATAAAGTAGGAGATCTGCATTGGCTCCCAGCACATTTCCGAGCCCAATTCAAAGTGTTGGTGCTGACCTTTAAAGCCCTAAATGGACTCAGTCCTGTACACCTGAAGGAGCATCTCCACCCCCATCATTCTGCCCGGACATTGAGGTCCACCACCGAGGGCCTTCTGGTGGTTCCCTCTTTGCGAGAAGTGAGGTTACAGGGAACCAGAGGGCCTTCTCGGAAGTGGCACCCACCCTGTGGAATGCCCTCAGACCAGATGTGAAGGAAATAAGCAGCTATCCTATCTTTAAAAGATATCTGAAGGCAGCCCTGTTTAGGGAAGTTTTTAACATTTAATGCTGTATTGTTTTTAACACTTGATGGGGAGCCGCCCAGAGTGGCTGGGGAAACTCAGCCAGATGGACGGGGTATAAATAATAAATAATAATTATTATAATTATTTTTATTATTTATTGTTGTTGTTGTTATCAAATCCAAACTCCTCCTCTTCTTCTTCCATTATATCTGACAGAGGAGGGTGGGAGAGAAATAGCCTCCCCCAAAGTCTTGCCCTCCCCTTCCTCCCTAATATTTTTTTCTCTCCTTCAGAAACTTAACATGCCGAACAAAGCTCATCCCCTCATCAGAATATGCCTATTTTATTTTTACCTTGGACTGCATGTATTTCTGTACAGTACTGCACATGTGTGAAAGGACCATGTATTTCAGCTCTGGGTAGCAAAGCACAGACAGATGTACAAATTCATGTGCATGAGCCTGCATGTGGCAAATTCCAGGGGGGGACATCCGGTTAGGTTGCAATAGGTTGCAATGGATTGCTTTCAAGTCATTTCAGCGCCTGGGGGGCGGGGGGAGAGAACTTGTATCAGGATTACGTAAGTCCTCTCCTCATTCCTGAATGCAATGTGGGAATTAACAGTGGCTTTTTCAAGATATCCCCATACTGCAATGTGTGTCTGCAATGCCCCAAAAGAGGTAAGTGTGGACCATGCACATCAGGAAATAAAACCTGAGCCAGAGTCTATACTTCTCCCTTCAAGAGAAAGCATGGGGATGCTTCCTATCTCTTGAATCCAAAACTACTGGCTTTGCTTGCTCTCTGTTCCCTGAACAGATGAAGCACTAGACTAGATCCCAGGACTGCTGTGCTGGAGAAATTTAAAAGGGGTTCCTACACTGAAGGTCGCCCGCCCAGTAACCGAAAATAATGGAGGCTCCAAGTGAAAAGACAGGCCTTTGTTGAAATACAAAGGCAGACAGGGACAGCCTCAAAAATGAGGATGTGAAGAAGCACATCTAAATCTATGTTCAATATACACTTCTAGATTACATATGTGATTTCATTTCACCACCAAAGGAGTCCAAGAATCGGTTGCAACCCTAAACCAAGTATCACATAGCTCTTCCGATCAGCTCTCATCATAATATCATGTCTTTGTTTGTTGAGACACTGATTTTCCTGTTCATGAAATGGCTCCCAATATCCTCTTTCATCTACCTAAATAACAATTCAAGATGAATCACAATCATGGGCCTTATCAGTGTGCCTAGGCAATGATTCAAAAGAAAATGGAATCAACTAAACGATAGTTTTATGAAATTATTATTTTCTCCATCGTTTCTACAGCTCTCAGGGGGACAGCTCCATTAAACTCCATGGGATCTACATATGAGTAACCATGCAAGGATGGCTCCATCAGCCCCAGCTCTGACCTGCAATGTGAACAGGCGACAGGGTTGTATCAGCCCTTCTGTTGCACCTCCATACAAGGTGGGAATAGCAGTAACTTCTTTCAAGGTACCCCCACCCTGCAATGTGTGTTTGTAATGCCTTAAAAAGAAAAGTTTGTGTGGCCCATGCTCATCAAGAAATAAAACGTGAGCCTCAAAAGAGTCTCTTGAGCTCTCTTACTGTATGCAAAGTTGTTTTACTTTTAAAACTTACCAGCAGTTTTCCATGGACAGACTCTCTGGGAACCCACCGGTAATTTCCTGGATCCACCCTGTATCCCTTTGTTAAAAATGGTGTTATCAGTGAGAAAATTAACCCCCACCTTAATCCCTGGTACTTTCTAAAATTTACTGTTATGGGTGGTGGGGGAGAACACTGGACCTTATGCCAGATAGTATATGCCCCATTCTCAAGAGACGGTGTTCTCACATTTCTCTCCAGTGTGAATTATCTGGTGCTTTCTATAACTCGCACTGTAAGTAAAACATTTCCCACACACAGTGCATTTATATGGCTTCTCCCCCGTGTGGGCTCTCTGGTGGACGACCAAGGTAGACTTGTCAGGAAAACATTTCCCACACTCAGGGCACTTATGATTTCTCTCCTCTGTATGGATTATCCGATGTTTCACAAGGTGTGAGTCGCGTTGAAAACATTTCCCACAGTCTGTGCATTTATAGGGTTTCTCTCCGGTGTGGATTCTATTGTGTACCAAAGCGTTTGAGTGGAAAGCAAAACTTTTCCCACACTCCATGCATTTGTATGGTTTCTCTCCAGTGTGGACTCTCTGGTGGATCATCAAATCAGAATTGTGAGCAAAGCCCTTCCCACAGTCCGTACACTTGTAAGGTTTTTCTCCAGTGTGGACTCTCCGGTGGTGAGGCAAGAGGTGAATTTTTTGAGAAAAACATTTGCCACACTCTAGGCACTTGTAAGGTCTCTCTCCAGTGTGGGATCTCTGGTGGATCACAAGGTGACCTTTATCAGAAAAACATTCGCCACACTCTATGCACTTGTAAGGTTTCTCCCCAGTGTGGGATCTCCGGTGGATCACAAGGTTAGACGGTTGAGATTTTTTTTTGCCACACTCTATGCACTTGTAAGGTTTCTCCCCAGTGTGGACTCTCTGGTGGGTCACAAGGTAAGCTTTTTGAGAAAAACATTTGCCACACTCTGTGCATTCATAAAGTTTTTATGAATGCACAGAGTGTAATTAATAATAATAATAATAATAATAATTTTTTATTTATACCCCACCCTCCCCAGCCAAGGCCGGGCTCAGAGCGGCTTACAAGCAATAATAAAAACAAGATGAATGATTACAACTTAAAAACAAAAATAAAATACAACATTAAAATAATGGAACATTAAAATATTAAAATGTAGCCTCATCGCAGGAGGAGAAGGAAAAGAAAAAAGAAAGAGAGGGAGGGAATCAAATTGGCTCCAAGCCAAAGGCCAGGCGGAACAACTCTGTCTTACAGGCCCTGCGGAAAGAAATCAGATCCTGCAGGGCCCTGGTCGCATGAGGCAGAGCATTCCACCAGGCCGGAGCCAGAGTTGAAAAGGCCCTGGCTCTGGTTGAAGCCAATCTAACTTCCTTAGGGCCTGGGACCACTAGGGTGTTGTTATTTATGGACCTTGAGGCTCTCCATGGGGCATACCTGGAGAGGCGGGCCCGTAGGTACGAGGGTCCTAGGCCGTGAAGGGCTTTAAAGGTCAAAAGCAGCACCTTAAATCTGACCCTGTACTCCCCCGGGAGCCAGTGCAGCTTGAAAAGCACTGGGTGAATATGCTCCCATGGCAGAGACCCCGTGAGGAGCCTTGCTGCAGCATTCTGCACCCGCTGGAGTTTCTGGGACAGCTTCAAGGGTAGCCCCGCGTAGAGCAAATTACAGTAGTCAAGCCTGGAGATGACCGTCGCATGGATCACTGTGGCCAGGTTGGGGCGGGAAAGGTAAGGGACCAACTGCTTGATGCGGCGAAGGTGGAAAAATGTCGCCTTGGCTGTTGCTGTAAGTTGCGCCTCCAAACTCTTAACGGAAGGCAATGGCACTAATTGGGCCCCCGCAAGAGAAGGGAGTTGGTCCCTCATCCCCATGCCATCCCGACCTAGCCATAGGACCTCTGTCTTCGAAGGATTTAGTTTCAATCGGCTCCCACGAAACCATCCAGCCACAGCTTCCAAGCATCTGGTCAGTGTGTTCAGGGCCGAGTCGGTGTGGCTATCCATCAGCAGATAGAGCTAATAATATTCTATTCTTTTTTTCCCTAGAGAAAGCTACATTTGTTACTCAACAGTTACATTCCAATTCCACAAAACTAGTGACTTCCCACTCACCCAACACCCCCCCCAAACCCTGACAAACACGTTAATAATAATAATAAATTATTTATACCCCCGCCCATCTGGCTGGGTTTCCCCAGCCACTCTGGGCAGCTTCCAACAAAAGATTAAAAGTACAGTGGTACCTCAGGGTAAGTACTTAATTCGTTCCGGAGGTACCACTGTACATTAAAACATCAGTCATTAAAAACTTCCCTAAACAGGGCTGCTTTCAGGTGTCTTCTAAAAGTCAGATAGTTTTTTACTTCCTTAACATCTGATGGAAAGGCGTTCCACAGGGTGGGCGCCACTACCAAGAAGGCCCTCTGCCTGGTTCACTGAACCTCATTTCTCGCAGGGAGGGAACCGCCAGAAGGCCCCCGGAGCTGAACCACAGTGTTTGGGCTGAATAATGGGGGTGGAGACGCTCCTTCAGGTAAACTGGGCTGAGGCCGTTTAAGTCTTGAAAGGTCAGCACCAACACTTTGAATTCTGCTTGGAATTGTACTGGGAGGCAATGTAGCTCTTTCTAGACCGGTGTTATGTGGCTGACCAGCGCAACCAAGGCAGTTTCTGTCCCATGATGAGGCCTGAATCCCAACTGGAATTCCTGCCAAGAAAAAAACAGATTAGGTGTGGAGAGGATCCCGATCCCCCACAGAAGCACCAGATCTGAGTATCTTGACAGTCATCAAATGCTCTTGTGAAAGATTGACACACGTCTCCAGCCTCTCCATTTTATCACTGCAACAACCCTGTGAGGTGGTTTGGACTGAGAAATGGTGACAGCTGCTCTGATACAGACCGTGTGTAGAATAGAAAACAATTAGTCTCCACTACAAAGGATGCGTTTCAAAGCTTTATTGCAGAAGAGTTTTAAAAGAGTTGAAAATAAAGGACTTCCGGGTTGGCGCCATTGATTAGACCAAAGGGGGGGGTCTTGGATTGGGGGCTTTCTGCCTGCTGAGCTCCGGAGGGAATCGGCTCTGCAGAGACTGGGTCTTACCGCTGCGGCGACGCGGGGACCCTTAAAATCACAGGCGCTGAAGCCTGTGAGTGTAGTGACTCGGCGGGCACCATTTGCGCCCCCCCCAAATCCGTGAAGGAGCCTTTTTAAAGGCTTCGGAACGGGGACGGGGTGCGGCGCGGTGCTGAGAGTACTCCTTCATCTGCGGAGTGAAGCCGCAAGCCAGTATCGGAGAGCGCTGACTTTTTCCTTGGAACATTCGGACTCTAAAACATCAACCCGTGAGTAATACGGAAATTGGAAATTTAAAGAAAAAATTGGCGGATCAGGAACGAGCGGGGAAGGGTTAAAAAGGAAGTCCACCCCCCCTCTTTGTAAACAATTTAAAGCAAAGGACCTGCTAGCTAAGGTCGAGATAATCTTTTCTTTTGTTAGTAAAAGACTTTAATTTCACGGTTTTGACATTAGAAGAATCTTTGCTGGAGGATAAGATTAATTTTGGGAGCTGAAGTTTCACCCCCCCAGACCCGGGAGTGCCCCACAAGAGAGCCTGTTGATGAAAGACTGGAAAGTTTGACAGCTGTCAAGTTGGCTGTCGAGACAGAAAAGGAGAACCTTGTTTTTGTTGCTTCTGTTGGTTAATTTGTAATAATTTGTTGAAAATAAGGAAGGGCTGATACAAAATAATCTGACTTTTGGACTTGAGCTGAAAGGAATTTTAAGGAACTAAAATCCCCCTAGAGGGGTTTAGTGACATTACAGGAATGGCTGGAGGAAGGAAAATCCAGGCTGAATTGGACAGAGCATTTGTTCTCTTGGGAAAGTTACAAGGCCAAACTGATGTTTTGGCTACAAATGTTACAACGCTGGACTTAGCAGTAAAGAACATTGTTGAATCTGATAAGGACTTGAAAAAGGAGCCTATCCAACTGAACAAATAGAGAAAACGGAGAGCTTTGACAATATGGAGCAGGTGACAGATGTTGTCCCTGAAGAAAAGGAAGGAGGAGCTGAAACTTTGCAGAAGTTAAAGGAGAGCAGCATTTTGAAGCCTGACATGATGACAAAAAAGGAAAAGAAAAATCTGATGTGGAGAGCCTGGCCTGAATTGGAGGTGGAAGCTGGAGCTTGGGGGACATTTGGACTTGAAAGGAGTATAAAACAAGATTTGAAGTACCCCATAAGCTTTATCCTTAAATATGGAGGTCTGGCTGGTAGAAACATGGATCCTGTTGGGCCGGAGCTTCTTCGAGATTTGGAGTTTAACATTAAAGACTATCAAAAAGACCGGCAGAGAGGAACTGAGAGAGAACTGAGAGCCTCAGACGTGAGATCTCCAGGCTAAACAGTATATTGAGACTGATGGGATTTTTGTTGAGGACTGAAACCAGGAAAAGGGTGGGTGGAGTTTGGGAATCCAAAGGGTATATAAATATAGTTTGTTTTATTTTTACTTTGCTTTGTTATTGGTATGGAAATTGGGAAAGACGTGGAAGGGAAATTTTGGTCGACTTTAGGAAAAATGTTTAAGAAAAAATAATGAGGTATAAATATTGATGTGTAAATTTGGATAAGTTAAAATTGATTTTTTAAAATGGTCTAAATTAAATGAAAATAAGGTTTGTAAATATAAATTGAGGAAATGGAAGAAGAAAAGTAAAATAATAACATGTTAGAATAAATTAAATTAAGTTAAAATAGAGAAGTAATTAAGGATTTGCTGAGCCAATAATTTAAATTGGAATACAAGAAGGGGAGGTGTGAGGAGGTCTGAGAAATAAGTTAAAAGAAAAGAAGTATTTGAACTTTCAGGTGTTTTTAATTGTTTTTTTAAAAGTTTTGTATTTTTGTATTTTTTTGTTTATTTTTGTTTTTGTTGTTATATGTTTTGTTCTTTTTTGAAAATGCTAATAAATATTCATTTAAAAAAAGAAAAGAAAAGAAAGCTGACAAAGACACAAAGCAATACATTGCTCCGCTGAGTTCTCGGGTTCCATTTTCTGCCAAAAGAGACCACTCGGGTTTCCAGCAATGAGTCCTCATTTAACCCAGGGTTTCCCAAACTTGGTTCTCCAGCTGTTTATGGACTACAACTCCCATCAACCCTAGCTAGCAGGACCAGTGGTCAGGAATGATGGGAACTGTAGTCCAAAAACAACTGGAGACTCAAGTCTGGGAAATCCTGATTTAGCCAAAACCCTCAAAACAGAAACATCCCACAATTTGTTGCAGACAAACCTATCCTGTCTAATGCAAACTTCCTAAGCACATATATTTAATACTGTACATCAGCCAGTATTATTGATCGTGAAACTTACTAAGTTCAAAATGCAAAGCGACACATGATCAGATTAGCTCTTATTTTAAGAAGACGAGGGTTAGCAAATTGATTAAAGTGTGGATTCTGACTAAACACCAGGAAGAACTTTCTGACAATAAGAGCTTTTCAGCTGGGGAACACACTCCTTTGGTGGGTTGTGGACTCCCCTTCACTGATTAAAATTCTCCAAAGGCCATCTGTCAGGGATTCTTCCGTTGAGATTTTAGTATTGCAGGAGGTTGGACTAGATGTCCCTTAGGGCCCTTCCCATTCTACAATTTTATGGCTCTATATTTTGTGTGATAAGAGAGAAATGTGAGTGAAAATTGTTCCACATTCCATATATTTAAATTGTTTCTCTTATGTGAATATGAACATTCCAGTTTGACTGAAGCTCTTTCCACACTCCGAGCATTTAAGTGCTTTCTTGCCGGTGTGAATTGGTGATGTGCAGGTGTGATTACTAGCTGAAGCACTTTCCATACTGCACACATTTAAATGCTTTTTCATCCTGTGTGAGTTTGTTGATGTTTTCTACGTCTTCCTCTTTGACTGAAGCTCTTCCCACACTCCATACATTTAAATCATTTCTCCCGTGTGAGTTCTCTGGTGTAAAGTAAGGGTTGTCTTCCGTGTGAAGCTCTTCCCACACTCCATACATTTAAATGGTTTCACTCCTGTATGAATTCGTAGATGTTTTGCATGGGTTGAATGATCAGCGGAAGTCTTCCCACACTCCTTACATTCAAATGGTTTCTCCCCTGTGTGAGACCGTTGATGAATATTAAGATTTTGCCTCATACTGAAGCACTTTCCGCACTCTGTGCATTTAAAGGGTTTCTCCCCTGTGTGAATTCGTAGATGCTTTTTAAGGTTTCCACTTTGATTGAAGCAGCTTCCACACTCGTTACATTTAAATGGTTTTTCTCCTGTGTGAATTCGTAGATGTTTTATATGGGATCCTCTATCTACAAAAGTCTTTCCACACTCCATACATTTAAATGGTTTTTCTCCTGTGTGAATTCGTAGATGGTTTATATGGGATCCGCTATCTACAGAAGTCTTCCCACACTCCATACATTTAAATGGTTTCTCCCCTGTGTGAGTTTGCTGGTGTGTAGTAAGGGAATGCTTCCGCCTGAAACACTTTCCACACTCCATACATTCATATGGTTTCTCCCCTGTGTGAGTTTGCTGGTGTGTAGTAAGGTATTGCTTCCACTTGAAACTCTTTCCACACTCCATACATTCATATGGTTTCTCCACTGTGTGAGTTTGCTGGTGTGTAGTAAGGTAATACTTCCACCTGAAACTCTTTCCACACTCCATACATTCATATGGTTTCTCCACTGTGTGAGTTCGCTGGTGTGTAGTAAGGGAATGCTTCCACCTGAAACTCTTTCCACACTCCATACATTCATATGGTTTCTCCACTGTGTGAGTTTGCTGGTGTGTAGTAAGGCATTGCTTCCACTTGAAACACTTTCCACACTCCATACATTCATATGGTTTCTCCACTGTGTGAGTTCGCTGGTGTGTAGTAAGGTAATAATTCCACCTGAAACATTTCCCGCACTCCATGCATTTGAATGGCTTCTCCCCTGTGTGAATTCTTTGATGTGAACTAAGGGATGTATGATCAGTGAAGCACTTTCCGCACTCCAAACATTTAAAAGGTTTCTCCCCTGTGTGAGTGAGTTGATGCTTTGTACAGTTTCCACTTAGACTGAAGCACTTTCCGCACTCCATACATTTAAATGGCTTTTCTCCTGTGTGAATCCGTTGATGTCTTGCATGGCTTGCAGAATCAGCAAATGTCTTTCCGCACTCTATACACTGAAATGGCTTCTCCCCTGTGTGAGTTCGCTGGTGTGTAGTAAGGTGTTCCTTCCGGCTGAACGACTTTCCACACTCCATACATTCATATGGTTTCTCCCCTGTGTGAGTTCGCTGGTGTAAAGTAAACTTTGTCTTCTGGATGAAGCACTTTCCGCAGACCATGCATTTAAATGGTTTCTTCAATGAAATTCCAGGTGAATTCTGACTATTGTTTCCATCACCTGCTTGGGGAGGAAAGAAAATCCTGTTAGGCTTCCAAGGAAGGAAGAAGTAATATAACACACATCTGGTGAAAATAGCACCTCTTAGGACTTCCGGGTCAGTGCCAGCGGCTAATGCCGGATTCTCTCCGAGCTCCGGAGGGAATCGGCTCAGTGGAAGACGGGTCCCATCGCGACGGCGACGCAGGGACCCTTAAAAACCACAGACGCTGAAGTCTGTGGGCGTGGTGGCTCGGCGGGCACCATTTGCGCCCCAACCCGCGAAGAAGCCTTTTTAAAGGCTTTGGAGTGGGGGAAGGTGAGTGGCATGGTGCTGTGAGCAGATAGCTACTTCTACGGAGCGAAGCCACAAGCCATGGCCGGAGAGCGCTGACTTTGTTCCTTGAATTTGGGACTGTAAAGTAACAACCCGTGAGTAATACGAAGTTTGGATTTAAAATTTTCTTCAACTCTTTGAATTTCGGTACGACCGGGGGAGGTGTCAAAAGGAAGTCCGCCCCCCCACTCATGTAGACAATTTGAAGCAAGAATTAAACAACTAAGGTTGAGAGACCATTTCGCTTCCTTGTGAAACTAAAGTTATTAACTCCACGATTTGGAAATAGAAGTATTGGGATAGAGGATAAGAACAGCCTTTTTTCTAAGAAAAAGAAGAGGAATTGACTAATAACCCCCCCCCCCGAGATCCGGGAGTGATCCGTGAAAGAGCTGGCTCTGGAGACATAAGGAGTTTGACAGCTGTCAAGCGAGCTGTCAAGCAAGAAAAAGTTGTTTATTGATATTCTTTGCTGGTTATTTGTGTCGCATTTGGCTTTGAGTTGTTGGCAATAAAGAAGAAACAAAACAAAACAAAGTAACTTGACTGTTGGAGGAAAAATACTAAGTAACTAAAATCCCCCCAGAGGGGAATTAGAGACATTACAATGGCAGCAGATGGAAAAATACAGGCAGAGCTAAAGAGAATGTTTTTTCTTGTGGGAAAATTACAAGATCAACAAAGCTTTTGCAACAGATGTTATGGCCTTGAGTCTCAAAGTAGATAAATTTGCTGACTGTACAAAGGAACTGATTCAAAATACTCTGGCAGTCGAACAAGAAGATAAAGATGTTGTTTCAGAGGAGGAAGAAGGAGGAGTTGAAAAGTTGGTGGAGAAAGAGAACAACCAGAAGCCTTTAAAAACGGATTATAAGAGAAACAAGTCTTGGATGATAGAAATTTGGTCTGAAATCGAGAAGGAGGATCGCAGAGATTTTTTCATGGGAAGATTGGAAGACCTTTGGATTATAAATTTGTACAAGGCGAAAGATGGGGCCTTTGGACTATTTGGGATTTTGGATTTAAAAGGAATATGAAACACCACTTGGGCTCCACTTCCGAGCATGGAGGTTTGGTTGGAAGAAATGCAGATCCTATTGGGACAGAGCCTTTCCGAGACATGAAGTTCAATATAAAGGACTGTCAACAAAACTGGCTGAGAGGGACTGAGAGAGATTTAAGGGCCTCGGATGTGAGGGATCCAGGCTGAGAACTGATGGACACTCTTTGGGGATCAAAACCGGGAATGGGGGGAGGAAAGTTGGGATTGTAAAGGGTGTATAACTAGAATTTATTCTTTTTGCTATTTGGTGGGTAAATTTTTATGAAAGTTGGGAAATCGTTGGAAGGGAACTTGGGTCGACCTTAGAAAAGGACGTAATGATGGGTATTGTGTCCAATTCAATTATATAGGTAAAACTTATAAGGTTAAAAACTAAGTATATATAATCTTGAAAGTTAAGTATATAAGCTAAATTTATAAGAACTTGCTGAACTAGTTATTGGAATTGGGATACAAGAAGGGGAGGGGAGGGGAAGTCTGCAAAAAGGGTTAAGAAATTAAGGATTTGAAATTGTACATGTTTGTTTTTGTGTTTGTCTGTTTATGTTGTGTATTGTGTGTGTTTAAATTGTGTAAAACTTAATAAAAATTTATAAAAAAAGAAAAGAAAATAGCACCTCTTATTTCAATATCTCTTACGTTCTCACTTTTCATGTTCCATTTTTTTAGGAATACACCTAAAATAATGTCAAAATATAGTAATGCCAGGTGTTACAATCTGGGCAGCAAATGAAAACTTTCCTCTTTTCCCTTGCCTGTGCCTAATTAAATCATCTCTGCCTCTTTAAATTGTATGTGTGGCTGTACTGTTTTGGTTGTTACGATGTTACCTATTTTTCTTCGCTAATATTGTAAACCGCGCAGTGATGCTTAGATGAAGGGTGGTATATGAACAATTCTATCTAGACTTGGAAGAGACCCCGAGGGTCCTCTTGTCCAAACTTCTGCAATGCAGCAATCTCGACTTAAGCATCCAACCTCTGCTTAAAAACCTCCAAGGAAGGAGAGACCACCACCTTCAGAGGGTGTCTGTACTACTGTTTAGCTGGATTCCCATTTCTTGTAATCTAAATCCATTGGATCAGGTCCTACCCTCCAGAGATGAAGATAACAAGCTTGCTCCATCTTCACGTGACAGCACTTTAGATAAGATATCTGAAGATAATAATAATAATAATAATTTTTATTTATACCCCGCCCTCCCCAGCCAAGGCCGGGCTCAGGGCGGCTAACAAGCAATAATAAAAATAAGTTGAATGAATACAACTTAAAAACAAAATTAAAATACAACATTAAAACATTGAAAACATTAAAATATTAAGATGTAGCCTCATCGCAGGAGGAGAAAGGAAAAGAAAAAAGAAAGAGGGGGAGGGAATCAAATTGGCTCCAAGCCAAAGGCCAGGCGGAACAACTCTGTCTTACAGGCCCTGCGGAAAGAAATCAGATCCTGCAGAGCCCTGGTCTCATGAGACAGAGCGTTCCACCAGGCCAGAGCCAGAGCTGAAAAGGCCCTGGCTCTGGTTGAAGCCAATCTAACTTCCTTAGGGCCCGGGACCACTAGGGTGTTGTTATTTATGGACCTTGAGGGTCTCTGTGGGGCGGTCCCGTAGGTACGAGGTGTACGAGGAAGATGGCATATCTCTTCCTAGTTTCCTTTTATTCAGGCTTAGCAAACCCAGCTTCCTCAGCTATTCTTCATAAGGCTTGGTTTCCAGTCCTTTGATCATGTTAAGCTTGTGGTGAGACAGGTACTACTGGCAACCCAGGTGTCCTCCATCTTATATATGTGCAGTTGGTTCTTCTGGCCTCATTGTAGAATCTGATATTCAGTCCCCACTGAAATTCATTTTTGCCCAGTACTCCAATTTGTTATGGTAATATTGAATCTCCCGCTTTGGCATAATCTGCACATTGGATGAGTAGCCATCCCCTCAATTCCTTCATCTAAGTTGTTTATAAAGATGTCGAACAACAACAGACTCAGGACTTTTATTATTTTTTACCTCTCTTGTACGCCCAAGCTCATTCTTATCTTTCGTCTGCATGATCTTATCCTTGTTACTGCTGGCTACTCATTTATACTCTTCCTTCATGATTTGCCCTTTCTTCCATTTCTTATGCCCACCTTTCTTAAATTTCAGCTCATCCGAAAGCTCCTTATGCAGCCACATGTGCTTCTTTATGTACCTCCCACTTGTCTTTCTTGTTGGAATAGGATAGGGGTGCAACTGGGGCCGCCAACTGAAGCCACGCCGCTATGGCCACCTGAGCCAGCAATGGATGCAGATGTCCCACCAAGCAACATGCCTCCTCTTTCAGAGGGTGTGTAATCCCATCAAGAGCAGGCAACCTCCCAGCCATCCAGTCTAGGGAACCACCCATTAACTGGGCCTCTGTCTTAGCTGGATTCAGCTTCAGACCTCTCATCCAGTCTATTACCGAGGCAAGACAATGGTCTAGCACACCTGCTGCCTCACCTGTAGATGCAACTGAGAAATAGAGCTGAGTGTCATCAGCATATTGCTGACAACATACTCCAAACCTCTGGGTAACTCCACTTAGCGGCATCATATAGATGTTATACAGCATAGGGGATAAAACTGAACCCTGGGGAATCCCACATTGAAGGTTCCACAGGGCTGAAGGAAACAAGATGAATTTTAACAGGGAGAAATGTAAAGTATTGCACTTGGGCAAAAAAAATGAGAGGCACAAATACAAGATGGGTGACACCTGGCTTGAGAGCAGTACATGTGAAAAGGATCTAGGAGTCTTGGTTGACCACAAACTTGACATGAGCCAACAGTGTGATGCGGCAGCTAAAAAAGCCAATGCAATTCTGGGCTGCATCAATAGGAGCATAGCATCTAGATCAAGGGAAGTAATAGTGCCACTGTATTCTGCTCTGGTCAGACCTCACCTGGAGTACTGTGTCCAGTTCTGGGCACCACAATTCAAGAAGGACACTGACAAACTGGAACGTGTCCAGAGGAGGGCAACCAAAATGGTCAAAGGCCTGGAAACGATGCCTTATGAGGAACGGCTAAGGGAGCTGGGCATGTTTAGCCTGGAGAAGAGGAGGTTAAGGGGTGATATGATAGCCATGTTCAAATATATAAAAGGATGTCACATAGAGGAGGGAGAAAGGTTGTTTTCTGCTGCTCCAGACAAGCGTACACGGAGCAATGGATCCAAACTACAAGAAAGAAGATTCCACCTAAACATTAGGAAGAACTTCCTGACAGTAAGAGCTGTTCGACAGTGGAATTTGCTGCCAAGGAGTGTAGTGGAGTCTCCTTCTTTGGAGGTCTTTGAGCAGAGGCTTGACAACCATATGTCAGGAGTGCTCTGATGGTGTTTCCTGCTTGGCAGGGGGTTGGACTCGATGGCCCTTGTGGTCTCTTCCAACTCTATGATTCTATGATTCTATGAAGGATACTCTCCAAGCAACACCCTCTGGAAACAACCATCCGAGTAAGATCGGAACCACGGCAAAGCAGGGTCACCCACCCCCTAGTGCAAACAGCTGCTCTACAAGGACACCATGGTAGATGGAATCGAAAGCCGCTGAAAGGTCAATAATTAGTAGGGACACGGTTCTGCTGTCTCTTTCCCAACAGAGGTCATCCTACAGGGCAACCAAAGCAGTTTCTGGGCCAAAGCCCAATTAAAATGGATCTAGAAAATCAGCTTCCTCCAAAACAAGCTGGATCATGTCTGCAACCACGCGGTCAAGAACCTTGCCCAAGAAGGGGAGATCAGCAACTAGCCGGGAGTCCTGCAGAGGAAATAGCACCTAAAATTCAAAAGCCTGGGAGAAGGTTTTCCTCTTCACCATCTATTGATCCATCTATGTCCCCATCTCCATTCCCCTGGAACTCACCAGATGTCTCTGAGGGTCCTGGGAGAAAATGCCCAGAGGTTTTGGGGAGGGATGCAGGAGGCAGTCTGATAAGGTCAACTGTCCATCTTCCTCCTTCCATCCTTGCTAGGTTTGCAGGTTCAGGCGCTTTCGTCCTTCCTGAGGAGCTCAGAAGATGCAGGTTCCTGGGAAGGGAGGAAGAAGCAAAGGGAGCCTCAGAGGCCCTGCAGGAATTCTCTTGCCCAAAACATTCTGCTGCCCCTAGAAAAGCCCCAAAGGGGTTCCCCCTTCCCAACAGAAGCCCCATTTTAAAGGTTTTTTTTGGTTATACCAGTTTTTTGTGTGATACCAATTCAATCTTTCTCCACCTCCCCCCCGGGGCCTAAGGTAAAGGTACCCCTGACCATAAGGTCCAGTCGTGGCCGACTCTGGGGTTGCGGTGCTCATCTCGCTTTATTGGCCAAGGGAGCCGGCGTACAGCTTCCGGGTCATGTGGCCAGCATGACTAAGCCGCTTCTGGCGAACCAGAGCAGCGCACGGAAACACCATTTACCTTTCCGCTGGAGCGATACCTATTTATCTACTTGCACTTTGACGTGCTTTCGAACTGCGAGGTTGGCAGGAGCAGGGACCGAGCAACCCACCGGGGCTTACTTATGAGTAAATCTTCACAGGGCTGCTTTCTGACACCCAGAAACAAGCACCAGGTGAGAGACTTTGGAGAAGACTGCTCCCCTCCCTCCCTGTAGCCAGGTCTTTCTTGACTTTTCTGCTTACTTTGGGTGGGGGGGGAGGGTTCCCCTCCAGCCCCCACCCAACCATTTCTCCTTCTCTTCCCACAACCCCCTGGAACTCAGCACACCACTCCCAGCCTCGGATAGTGATGGTGATGATCCAGCCTCTTTTAAACTATTTTGCACAGCTCAAAGTTTAAAACAAGTTGTGGCGTCTTATAGAATCATAGAATCATAGAGTTGGAAGAGACCACAAGGGCCATCGAGTCCAACCCCCTGCCAAGCAGGAAACACCATCAGAGCACTCCTGACATATGGTTGTCAAGCCTCTGCTTAAAGACCTCCAAAGAAGGAGACTCCACCACACTCCTTGGCAGCAAATTCCACTGTCGAACAGCTCTTACTGTCAGGAAGTTCTTCCTAATGTTTAGGTGGAATCTTCTTTCTTGTAGTTTGGATCCATTGCTCCATGTCCGCTTCTCTGGAGCAGCAGAAAACAACCTTTCTCCCTCCTCTATATGACATCCTTTTATATATTTGAACATGGCTATCATATCACCCCTTAACCTCCTCTTCTCCAGGCTAAACATGCCCAGCTCCCTTAGCCGTTCCTCATAAGGCATCGTTTCCAGGCCTTGGAGGGGATGGGTAGCCCCAGACCCCTGCAGAGACTGACCCAGGTGGGCCTTTGGTCTAATTCGGTGTCATGCAGCATCCTACCTTGGGAGCCCCCAGGCACTGGGGGAGAAGCAGTTTCCAAGTGGGAAGGGGGAGAAAGGAATTCGGACCCCCCCCCTTTATGGATGTGACTTTAAGGAGACTTCTGGGCAGGAGGGAGAAACCAAGGCACCCCCTCCGGAGATTTCCTCGTCCAAGATGGAGCCCTTTCTTTCAAGCCCCGCCCCACATAACTGAGCGCGTGGCACTGTGTATGCATGTGTGTGTGTGCACACACACATATACAGAAACACACAAGCCCCCTCAAGTGTTTTATTGTGGTAGCCAAAGCCCTCACGGCCCCATGGATTTGGCTCCAATGCTCCACCCCCCAGAACCAGAGAACTGTGGAGCTGGAAGGGACCCCTAGGGTCATCTAGACCAGTGTTCCCCAACCTTGGGCCTCCAGCTGTTTTTGGACTACAACTCCCATCATCCCTCGCTAGCAAAACCAGTGGTCAAGGATGATGGGAATTGTAGTCCAAAAACAGCTGGAGGCCCAAGGTTGGGGAACACTGGTCTAGACCACCCCCGCGCAATGCAGGGGTCGCAAGGAAAGCGTCTGCCAAAGATGGAGGCCCACCCTCTTTCCCTACTTGGAGTCCCCCCTTCTCAAGGGGCGCCCACTTCTGAGCCCCCCAAACAACCCACTCCCCCCCTGGGGGGTCATGGGTGGGTGGGGTGTCCTGGGTCCTCAGAGGCCTTGGGTCCCATGGCTTCCCTTCCCCCCACCCACCCAGGGGATCCTCCCATTCATCTCTCAGCCCCCCAGCAGCCCCCTCTGCACCCCCCGTCGCCCCACAGCCGCCCCTTCGCCCAAAGGACTCACCGCCCCAGAGGCCTCCCAAGACAAGCTGAAAGAGGAGGCGAGGCGGAAGGACGGAGAGGGAGGGGCCTTTCCCAGGCCGCTCTAGGCAACCGGGCTCTCTCGCTCTCCTTAACCCTTACGTGGCCTCGCCGCTCAGTGATCACTGCCCAGGGAGAAAGTGGGAGGCATCTGGATCCCGCCAGATTCAGGACTCGGCAACGCTCAGCTAGGCTCCCACGCTGGCTACAGCATGAGGCTCTTTCTCTAAGGGTTGTGGGTTCGAGACCCATGTTGGGCTAAAGAGCTTCATTGCAGAGGGTTGGGCTAGATGACCCTCGGGTCCCCTTCCAACTCTACGATTCTCAGGGGCGTCGCCAAAGAGTTGTTCGGGGCGGGGGGTGGGGGGGGACAGGGCCAGGCTGCAGGACCTCGGGCCCAATAGGGGGCAGGTGGGCTTACAAGAACAGAATCGGGGAATGGGAGAGTTTGAAGGGGACCTCCGAGGTCATCCAGCCCAACCCGCTGCGGTGCTGGACTCTCCACGGAAGCATCCACGAGAGACGGCCTCCACCTGCCAGTCTGCACCCACCTGGTCCAGGGAGGATGCCATGCCTGGCCCCCGTTCAAAGCAAGAGGTTCTCTCCCGGGGGGGAGCGGGTGGGATGGAGGAAGTCGATGCAACTCTGCGGAAGGAAAGGGAATATTCTCCACCCGCCAAAAGAAAAACCCCTTCGCTTCTGTCAGCCTCCAGACATGGGTGCAGCCAGAGGGCAGCTGCAAACCGCCCCCACTAAGTAAATAAATAACCGCCCCCACTAAGTAAAGGGGAATGTGCGCTTCCTTTATTCCTATATCTTGGGGTGAAATATACTCAGAGTCGAGTGTGGATTCCATGCTCTTTATGGCCAATCAGGTTGCGGATTCACTTCCACCTGGAGCTGGATTGGGTGGCTCCTGCGGACCAATCAGACTGCTGCCTTCTGGATCCTATTGTTCTAGGACGAATCAGACAGGCTGCCTTCTGGATCCTATTGTTCTAGGACCAATCAGACTGCTGCATTTTCGATCCTATTCAACTCAGTACATAACATGAGGGGAGGATTGGGAAAAGCATGGACAGGCGAAGAGAAGAGAAAAGTGTCTTCTCTCAGCAAAGACACGTTGTGATGTTGAAATGAACTGGAGTGCAGGCAAACTGATGCCCTCACGAATTAGCCATTATTTACTACTTTTGCCATTTGACCTACGCAAAAGTAATAATAATAAAAAATTGTTGTTGTTGTTTAGTCGTTTAGTCGTGTCCGACTCTTCGTGACCCCCTGGACCAGAGCACGCCAGGCACTCCTGTCTTCCACTGCCTCCCGCAGTTTGGTCAAACTCATGTTCGTAGCTTCGAGAACACTATCCAACCATCTCATCCTCTGTCGGCCCCTTCTCCTTGTGCCCTCAACCTTTCCCAACATCAGTGTCTTTTCCAGTGAGCCTTCTCTTCTCATGAGGTGGCCAAAGTATTGGAGCCTCAGCTTCAGGATCTGTCCTTCCAGTGAGCACTCAAGGGCTGATTTCCTTCAAAATGGATAGGTTTGATCTTCTTGCAGTCCATGGGACTCTCAAGAGTCTCCTCCAGCACCGTAATTCAAAAGCATCAATTCTTCGGCGATCAGCCTTCTTTATGGTCCAGCTCTCACTTCCATACATCACTGCTGGGAAAACCATGGCTTTAACTATATGGACCTTTGTTGGCAAGGTGATCTCTATAAAAAAATTAAAAAAGGTAAAGGTACCCCTGCCCGTACGGGCCAGTCTTGACAGACTCTGGGGTTGTGCGCCCATCTCACTCAAGAGGCCGGGGGCCAGCGCTGTCCGGAGACACTTCCGGGTCACGTGGCCAGCGTGACATCGCTGCTCTGGCTCGCCAGAGCCGCACACGGAAACGCCGTTTACCTTCCCGCTAGAAAGCGGTCCCTATTTATCTACTTGCACTCAGAGGTGCTTTCGAACTGCTAGTTGGCAGGCGCTGGGACCGAGCAACGGGAGCGCACCCCGCCGCGGGGATTCGAACCGCCGACCTTTCGATCGGCAAGCCCTAGGCGCTGAGGCTTTTACCCACAGCGCCACCCGCGTCCCACTATAAAAAAAATAATTGACATCAAAATGCCATGATGGAATGGACAGCAGAGCCTGGTGATGCAGTTCCCCTGGAATTCCACCAGAGGGCTGGGGCCTCTCTCTGATTGGCTCCGAAGACAGACAGGCAGACAAGAGGGGGCGGAGCCAGAACTTTTGGAGGGAAAATAACCGGAGCCGTTTCTGAGGCAGAGCGTTGGAACAGAGCTTGAATTGAGAAGTTAGGAGACGGGGCTCAGGTTGAGGGAAAGAGCTTGATTTGAGAGGAGAGACAGGGCTGGATTTGAGAAGAGGGAGAGGGGTTGTTTGGAGATAGGAGTTAGGGAGGAGGATAGGATTTGACAGGAGGAGAACTGCTTCTGATTTGGGTCGAACAACCACCCTGAGGAGACTGTCCATGGTGAGAGGAAAGACCCTCCCAGCTTGGATAGGGAGACCCAGTTGAGGGTCTGGGGAAGGTCTACAGACAGGAGTGTGAGGCAGGAGAAGCAGATCTTGGGGGAATTCAGGCTCCCCCTGGGTCACCTTCCAGTCAGGAGGGGGCAGTTCTTCTAGGGAGAGAAGACCCCCAAGCATAGCTGTCAACTTACAGATTTGAAAATAAGGGACCCGCAGCCAAAATAAGGGACCTGCAGCCTCACCTGTTCCAGGCACTCCAGTCTTCCTGTCCTCCTGCAGTCTGGTCAAACTCATGCTGGTCGCTTCGAGAACACTGTCCAACCAACTTTGTAACCAGAGGTTCAACTGAATAGAATCTGAATCACATGCACCACAAGGCCTATGCAGCCTCAACTTAAGATGGCTCCCTGGCCTGGCTTTGCACTGCAAAGTTTGCAGCAGCACGTGCAACAAAATGGCGTCCAGCATTCAAAAACCCCCTCAGCTTGCATTAACTAGCCACACACAAGGCATGCAAGCTCCCCAGTCGTTCTTAGACTTCTTATTGGGTGAGCAACACAGCCAAGCAACACAGTTGGAGCCGGCAAGGAGGGAGGGAGAGGAGCTGCTTCCTTTGAAATTTAAGGGACATCATTTAAGGGACATCCATCCATAAGGGACAGCAGCGGGACATGGCGCTGGAATAAGGGACTGTCCCTTCAAATAAGGGACACTTGACAGCTATGCCCCCAAGCCAGTCACAAGGGGGGAGGGGATCCCCTGGGTCTCTTATGCCATTTTGGAATTACCTCAGGAGTGAGGTTGCTTAGAGAGAGGGGGGCTGAGGAAAAGTGTCCCTCCCTCATGAACCAGGGTATTGATTGGGGAAGGAAGCTGTGTTGTTTTATGTAACTGCAGCACCTGCCATAACTAACAGAAACTGAAGTATAACAACTGTTTTTTGAATGAATAATAATGATAATAATACATTTTTATTTATATCCCGCCCTCCCCAGCTGAGGCCGGGCTCAGGGCGGCTAACAACAATAAAATAATACAACATTCTATTTATTTTTTTTAATATTTTTATTAAGTTTTCTTTCAAACAGTCAGAAATTTACAGAGTAAAGAATAAAGAATGAAGATACAAGAGAAAAGAAATACATAAAAACCAACTTTCCAGAATATTTTTACCATTCCAACCGGACTTCCCCACATCTTCCGAACCCTGCGTTCTTTGCAACTAAAACATCAGCAATTTGTTACCTTATTTCATATCTTACTGTATCTTTCAAACACTATGTTTCTAAGTTCAAAATACTGTATCTCCGTTGTTTGTACCTTAAAAATAAACATAGTATAGTTATTTCATGTTGTCCACCTCGTCTTTCTTATCACTTAATTTCCAATTCACCTATTCAAGTTGCTGAAGCAAAAGTTTCCTGATCGTACACATTCTTAACATTCATACAACTTATATTGTTTTTGCAAATAGTCCTTAAATTTTTTCCAGTCCTCCTCCATTATTTCCTCTCCCAAATCTCGGATTCTGCCAGTCATTTCAGCCAGCTCCATGTAGTCCATCAACTGCGTCTGCCATTCCTCCAGCGTGGGTAAATCTGGTGTCTTCCAATACTTTGCGATGAGAATTCTTGCTGCTGTAGTAGCATACATAAACAGAGATCTGTCCTTCTTTGACACCTTCTGGTCCACCATGCCCAGGAGGAAGGCCTCTGGTTTCTTGGGAAAGGTATATCTAAATACCTTTTTTAACTCATTGTAAATCACTTCCCAGAAGGCCTTCACTTTGGGGCAGGTCCACCAGAGATGAAAGAATGTCCCTTCCGCCTCTTTACATTTCCAACATTTGTTATCAGACAGGTGATATATCTTAGCCAGCTTAACTGGAGTCATGTACCACCGGTATATCATTTTCATAATATTTTCCTTCAAGGCACTACATGCCGTGAACTTCATTCCGGTGTTCCATAACCTTTCCCAGTCCTCAAACATAATGTTGTGCCCAATGTCCTGTGCCCACTTTATCATGGCGGATTTTACTGTCTCATCCTGTGTAAATAATACAACATTCTAAAATCATTTCATTAAAAAATTACTTCAAATCAAATTGATGACAACCATTGGGCTAGAGTTCTGTGAAGATTGCCAAAGGAGGGAGTCAGGCTGTGCCCTGGCCAAAGGCTTGGCAGAACAGTTCTGTCTTGCAGGCCCTGCAGAAAGATGTCAAGTCCCGCAGGGCCCTAGTCTCTTGGGACAGAGCGTTCCACCAGATTGGGGCCACAGCCGAAAAAGCCCTGGCTCTAGTTGAGGCCAGCCTAACCTCTCTGTGGCCTGGGACCTTCAAGATGTTTTTGTTTGAAGATCGTAAGTTCCTCTGTGGGGCATACCAGGAGAGGCGGTCCCGTAGGTACGAGGGTCCTAGGCCATATAGGGCTTTAAAGGTTAAAACCAGCACCTTAAACCTGATCCTGTACTCCACCGGGAGCCAGTGCAGCTGGTATAGCACCGGGTGAATGTGATCTCGCAGCGAGGACCCCGTAAGGAGTTGTACTGTTGTACTGTTTTATTGTTGTTAGCCGCCCTGAGCCCAGCTTCGGCTGGGGAGGGTGGGATATAAATAAAATTTATTATTTATTATTATTATTATTATTACATGGCGTCCCCCACTCTCCCTCCAAAAGGGACCCACACAGCTGCACCACAGGTGCCCTGGGGTGCCAACCCGAATAAAATTTTGCAGGGTCCAGGTAAGCCCCACCCTGCATAACGCATCACAAGAATGCACTTCATTTGATCGCTCACTTTTGCCTTTCCAGGTCTTCAAGCTGTTCTCAAAGAATGCAGATGAGGAACTCTTGGCCCTCAAGGAAAAAAAGTTTGTTGACAGGTTGTCATCAAATGGTCTTGTGAAAGGTTGACACACTCCACCCCCCCCCCTTGCATGGATGCCTCCAATATAGGTGTTGGGGCAATTCTTTCCCAGAATGGAAAGGACATCTGCACCCCATCCTATACTTAAGTAGGAAACTCTTCGAGAGGGAACAACACCTTTCAGTGAAGGATAGTGTTTAGCCATTGTATGGGCTATTGGTAAATTAAAGCCATATCATGGGTGAGAACATTTACCCTTTGTACTGACCACTCCCCTCTGAAATGGTTAAACCAAATGAAAGGTACCATAGCAAACTAATAAGGTGGGGTCTGCAACTGCAAGACTACAATTTTGATGTCTCCCACATCAGAGGGAAGGATAATGTGTTTCCAGATGCCCTGTCATGATGAAACATTTAGATAAGTACAGGGGGCAATCATGCTGTAAAAGGTAAAGGTACCCCTGCCCGTACGGGCCAGTCTTGACAGACTGTAGGGTTGTGCGCCCATCTCACTCAAGAGGCCGGGGGCCAGCGCTGTCCGGAGACACTTCCAGGTCACGTGGCCAGCGTGAATCGCTGCTCTGGCGAGCCAGAAGCCACACACGGAAACGCCGTTTACCTTCCCGCTAGTAAGCGGTCCTATTTATCTACTTGCACCCGGGGGTGCTTTCGACTGCTAGGTTGGCAGGCGCTGGACCGAACGACGGAGCGCACCCCGCTGCGGGGATTCGAACCGCCGACCTTTCGATCGGCAAGCCCTAGGCACTGAGGCTTTTCCCACAGCGTCACCCGCGTCCCTGCAATCATGCTGTATATATGTTTATTTGATGAGATGTAATTGTTTGAAATGCGATTAGTTTAAAAATGCAAATTTAAAAGTGGTTAAAATGTATGTAAAAGAATATAGTCAAGTGTTATGCTATATAGTTATGTTTAGAACTTTATAGTGTTTATAGCTTAATCGTATTACGAAGTATATAAGGTTCTGTGTGTACGATACACGTATATTTGCGTATTGAAACAGGTACCCCAGAATACCTTTTTACAATTCCTGCCCATCGCTGCACTGAGGCTGGCATATGCAATCTTGCCTACGCAATGATTTTCAGGTGTGGGACATGTGATGGAAGTTTGTTTACTGAGCAGGTTGAATCACTGCCAGCAAACAGTTAGCTAGCAAGAGCTCCTGACTGGCTAGAGTTCCAAGGGAGACAGTTGGAATGGAGTGAGAGACTGGGTGAGAGATTCCTATCTGGTCTGTGAGGGGTTTGTTCCGACAGGAGGGAGAGCTGAGGACTCTCAGTATATATGCTCTCAGGGTCAGAATCACAGAACACTGTTAAAATAGAAAAGACGCAGTCCCACACGGTGTTTAAAGGAAAAAGGGTCCTCAGAGGGAATACTCTGACAGGAAAGGGCAGTAGTGATTCCGAGGCCAAGGTGGATTTGGGGGTCCTTAAGGAAACAGTCCAATTAAAAACCTAAGTTTCTGAAGAGTGTGAGTGTGTGTGTCTGTGTGAAGTCTGATCTATGGAAGGTGTGTAAAAGAAAGTAACTGTAAGCTTGAACAGCATACAGCCTATTAACTTGAAACAGTATACAGTCATACCTCGGGTTATGGTTGCGTTTTTTTGGGTTGCGGAATGGGTTACTTCCGGGTTTTGGCGGTCACGCATGTGCAGAAGCGCTAAATCATGCTTTGCGCATGCGCAGAAGTGCTGAATCACAACCCGCGCGTGCACAGATGCACCGCTGCGGGTTGCGGACATGCATCCCACACGGATCACGTTCGCAACCAGAGCATCCACTGTACATTTTAATAAATTGCAACATCACTGTTTGTTACATTTCTGTGGAAGAACCAAAACTCCTTGTTTACACCTGTTATAATAAGGTTTGTTTGCAACCAGTTTTCCCAAAAGAAAAACCCACTATTGCTCATGATTCATTCTCCACTGGGGGAATACACCTGAGGGAAGCAAATTAATTTGTGGCAGCGCCGTGATACGAAGTTAAAACCCACACAGAAACATGCTCACAGATACAGAACAACCAATTTAATAAAGTATTGAGAATATTTTATTAAAAGGAAAAAACGTTTCTGTCAGAAAATGGCCAGCAAGCACTAAGCCAAAGAGACTCGGGATGACCCAGTGCAGGGAGCTTCTGCATCTGAAGAGAATACTAATACTGAATTAGAAATGATGAGGCTAAGATTCAAATTGGCTAAAGTTGAAACAGAGAAAAACATAAGGTTGAAGCAGAGAAAGAAAAGGCAAAACTAGCAGCTGAACAGGCCAGCCCCTTTATTACCTATATTTAGGTATCAGGTAAAAACGTTCCCCTTCTCCCAGGCTTTTGGCTAATTGAAAAATCTATGGGGTTGTTTGGTTTGTTAGTTATTATGGTATGTATCTTCGTGTTTTTATACTGTAAATAACCCTGTGATCTTTGCATGAAGGGTGGTCTAGAAATTTAATTAATAATAATAATAATAGCAATAGATTAGATCCCAGGGTTTCTGTACACATCACAAGGGGAAAGCTCCATTAAAACCCATGGGATCTGCATCTGAGTAAACATGCAAGGACTGCACTATCAGCCTGAGCTCCAATCTGCAATGTGGGCTGTATAGGGTTGTACAGTGGTGCCTCGCAAGACGAAATTAATTCGTTCCGCGAGTTTTGTCATCTTGCGATTTTTTTCATCTTGCGAAGCACGGTGTCGGGAAAGTTTTGGAAAAGCTTCAAAAATCACCAAAGTCTTTAAAAACCTCAAAAAAGGCTACCACACCGCGTTCTATGAGTTGCTCCTCGAAGTCAAGTCGCAACTGTATTAACGTTTCCGTCTTGCGAAGCAAGCCCATAGGGAAAATCGTCTTGTGAAGCAGCTCAAAAAACAAAAAACCCTTTCGTCTAGCGAGTTTTTTGTCTTGCGAGGCATTCGTCTTGCAAGGTACCACTGTATCTGCCCTCTCCTCACTCCTGCATGCAATGTGGGAAGAATTTCTTTCAAGGTATCCACATCCTGCAATGTGTGTTTGTAGTGCAAAATAAAAAGAGGAAGAAAAGTATCTGTGTGGCCCAGGTTCTTCATGAAATGCAATCGAAGTTTGAATCCAAAACTACTGGCTTAGCTAGACACCACATGGCACCTCAAAACTAGGTTATGGGCACAATAACAGAACATTTAGGCACTTAAAAAAATGTATTACAAAGCTGAAAATGAACAAACCTCAGCTAAAATCTCATGTTCACTTTTCATATGGTTTCATATCATGCAGCAGGAGGCCTAGCACCTCCTTCAGCGGGAAAGGGTAACTAAACAGTCCTAAAAGCATATAAATAAGCTTACATAGAAAGTCTATTTTTGCCTGTTTTATTCACACACACACACACACACACTTGTGCCCCCTAGAAGCTCAGCTTAAGATGGGCAACACAATGTTATTTAAAACTGTGGCAACGAAACTGGGTAAGATGAATTACGAGGAAGTGATTAGACTTTTCCGGCATTTTTCTTCAGTAAAAGGGAAGTAACCTTCATTGCTCTCTCCCTCATGGTGAGATGTCTTCTTTTATTCATGAAACACTTTCTATAATATTTGTAGTACCGGATTCCACCATGACTGCCACCCCAACAGTCTTTTAAACCAGGATGAAGGTAGAATTTCGCAGATTGACCGGTCAGAAGAGAAGGCTGGCTGTGAGGATATGGTTGTGCTGTCTGACTGATGTTTGTGAAGCATTTGAGAAGGGGAAAAGTAGATCTACATCTGCCCTCCTCCTCCAGCAGCAGAGAATGCCAAATGGTGACGGGGCTCAGTCGCAATACATGTGCCTATACCAAACTGTGGGAGGCAGTAAAAGACAAGAGTGCCTGGAGTGCTCTGGTCCATGGGGTCACGAAGAGTGAGACACGACTAAATGACAACAACAACAAACAACATGTATCCAAAACCGATAGCAATTGGATCGTGGCAAGTTGCAAAATGCACCTAGTCCTTAGGGAGTTTCAAATGCTGCTCTTGCCCCTAGACAAATGAAGCACTATACCTGGAACTCAGGTACAATAGTGTTTTTTTTAAAAGTGTGTTAAATGTGTTATAACACTGTGACACCAGATGGCGCTGTGGAGTTCCATTTTTCGGCCAATGTGATTTCCCATTATGAACGTTTTACAACACGTTTTGCTGAAACTTTTTTGATGTGTCTAGATGCAGCGTAGATCTCAGGATTGCTGTGCTGTATAATTTAAAAGGGGTTCCTCGAATGAAGGTCTCCCACCCAGAAAATAAAAAGAAAAGAGTGCAGGCTCCAAGTGAAAAGACAGGCCTTTATTGAAGTACAAATGCACAAAGGGACAGCCTCAAAAATGAGGATGTGAAGAAACACATCGAAAGCTATGTTCAATATACACTTCTAGATTACATATGTGATTTCATTTGACCATCAAAGGGTTGCAGCAATCTGAGTAGTCACCAACCCACTGTTACAGCAACCCACTGTCACCATCCTGAACCAATCAAATATGACATAGCTCTTCAAGCTCTTCAGCCTCATATGTCTTTGTTTGTTGAGACACTGATTTTCCTATTCATTAAACGTCTCCCAATATTTTCTTTCATCTACCTAAATAACAATTCAAGATGAATCACAATCATCATGCCTAGCAATGGGCCTTTTCAATGTGGCTGGGCAATGACTCAAAAGAAAATGGAATCATCGAAATGATAGCTTTTATAAAATTATTATTTTCATCATTTGTACAGCTCTCAGGGGAAAAGTTCCATTAAACTCCATGGGATCTACATCTGAGTAACATACAAGGTGGGAATAGCAGTAACTTCTTTCAAGGTACCCCCACCCTGCAATGTGTGTTTGTAATGCATTAAAAAGAAAAGTCTGTGTGGCCCATGCTCATCAAGAAAGAAAACTTGAGCCCCAAAAGAGTCTCTTGAGCTCTCTTACTGTATGCAAAGTTGTTTTATTATTAAAACTTTCCAGCAGTTTTCCATGTACAGACACTCTGGGAACCCACCTGTAATTTCCTGGATCCGTTTGTTAAAAATGGTGTTATAAGTGAGAAAATTAACCCCCACCTTAATCCCTGGTACTTTCTAAAATTTACTGTTATGGGTGGTGGGGGAGAACACTGGACCTTATGCCAGATAGTGTATGCCCCATTCTCAAGAGACGGTGTTCTCACATTTCTTTCCAGTGTGAATTATCTGGTGCTTTCTGTAACTCGCACTGTAAGTAAAACATTTCCCACACATGGTGCATTTATATGGCTTCTCCCCCGTGTGGGCTCTCTGGTGGACGACCAAGGTAGACTTGTCAGGAAAACATTTCCCACACTCAGGGCACTTATGATTTCTCTCCTCTGTATGGATTATCCGATGTTTCGCGAGGTGTGAGTCGCGTTGAAAACATTTTCCACACTCGGTGCATTTATAGGGTTTCTCCCCAGTGTGGGATCTCTGGTGGATCACCAATGTAGAGTTGGCAACAAAACACTTCCCACAGTCCATGCACTCGTAAGGTTTCTCTCCAGTGTGGAATTTCTGGTGTTGCCTGAGGGAAGATTGGTTGGCAAAGCATTTCCCACATGTTGTGCATTTATAGGGTTTCTCTCCAGTGTGGATTTTACTGTGTAACAAAGCGGCTGAGTGGAAAGCATAACTTTTCCCACATTCCATGCATTTGTATGGTTTCTCTCTTGTGTGGACTCTCTGGTGGTTCATCAAATCACCTTTTTCAGCAAAGTCCTTCCCACAGTCCATACATTTGTAAGGTTTTTCTCCCATGTGGACTCTCCGGTGGTGAGACGCGAGGTTAGTGTTTTGAGAAAAACATTTGCCACACACTATGCACTCGTAAGGTTTCTCCCCAGTGTGGACTTTCTGGTGGCGCCTGAGAGGATATTGTTCGGCAAACCGTTTCCCACACACGGTGCACTCATAAGGTTTCTCTCCAGTGTGGGATCTCTGGTGCCTCACAAGGTGAACTTTACGAGAAAAACGTTTGCCACACTCTATGCACTCGTAAGGTTTCTCTCCAGTGTGGTCTTTCTGGTGGCACCTGAAAGTAGATAGTTCAGCAAACCATTTCCCACACTCGATGCACTCGTAAGGTTTCTCCCCAGTGTGGGATCTCTGATGGATCACAAGGTGAGCTTTTTGAGAAAAACATTTGCCACATTCCCCACACCCATAAGGTTTCTCCCCAGTGTGGGATCTCTGGTGGATCACAAGGTGAGCTTTTTGAGAAAAACATTTGCCACATTCCCCACACCCATAAGGTTTCTCTCCATTGTCGGATCTCTGGTGGTTCACAAGGTTATATTTTTGGGGAAAGTATTTGCCACACTCCCTGCATTCATAAGGTTTCTCCTCAGTGTGGACTCTCTGGTGGATCATAAGGTTTTCTGAGCAGGTAAACGTCTTCTTGCACTCAGGGCATTCGTATTCCTTCTCTCCCTTGTGGATTCTCTTGTGTCTCACTAGTTGACACCGTAGAGCAAACTGCTTCTCACATTGCAGGCATTTGTGCGGCTTGTGTCCATGATGGTCTCTCTGGTGTTTGACAAGATCAAGTTTCGCAGTAAAACGCTTCCCAGAAGAACTACAAATGTTCTTTTCCCCGATGCCATTTCCTGGGACAAATAAACAGGAAAATGAGAACGTGAACTTTGGAAACAATGAATATTTGTGTCGTTCATCTATGGAACTCAACGCTGCACAAAGATAAGAAAGGGTGTGTGTATGCAAGGGGCTGGAATCACCTGACTTGCCCAACCCCCAGTTCTGGGAACGTTTAAGAGGGGACCTTTAAGAGCCACGGCCAAAAGAACTGAGAAGTATAAAACATTTTAAGGAGGGCCGGAGCTCCCATGCACTAATGTATTGGCTTTTTTTCCAGCCAGAATTCAGTTGCAGCACCTTTCAGCTGGGTGCCATTGCCATTCTAAGAGAGGTGTTCATGGTGAGTTCTAGAAAAACTGCACTTACCCGACCTTTTGACCAGTTTCTTGCTGACTTAAAATCTGATATATACGTTAAATGAACTGTTAAGCATTAGTTATTTAGTGTTGCACAGGGAGATACCGTATTTTTCAGTGCATAAGACACCGCCGTGTAAAAGACAACCCCTATTTTTAGGGACCACAAATAAAGGAAGTGGTGGGGGAGATTGCCCAGAGTTGTTAAGCTATTTTTTGGGGGGGGATTCCCGACAAATGCTCATACACGTGACCGCCACTGCCAATTGAACGCCTCTCCGAAGCCACCAATCCCAAGCACGCTCGCAGCCAGCAGCCACTAATCGCCCACCAAATTGTTGCACCAGCCAATCGCCAGCAGGCCTTGCTGCAGCCACCAATCACATGCCTAATTGCTGCTGACAATTTCCTGCTTGCGACTGCCACCAATCATGTGTCCCCCCTCTTCAATATCTTTGTATAAGAAAACCCCGTCTTTTTCACAGAAAAATATTGTAACTAAATTTTTATTGTATCATGACTATGTCAGCGCAGTACTTAATTTTAAAAAAAATATATATATGCTGCCTTAAGGACAAAATGAATTTGAGCAAAATACAATATATATGTTTGACTAGATCCAGGCGCTCTTGGACGAAACTGGCTTTCCTAGATTCATTTCAATAAGGGTTAAGGCTCGGTTTGGGCACAAATCTGCTTTTGTCACCCTGTATGAGGACCTTTGTCAGGGGAGAGACAGGCACAATGTGTCCTTGTTAATTCACTCCACTATGATGATCCTTGTGGTTGCCCCCATGGTAGACAGATATGGGAAGCAACGACTCACTCCATCCACTCTACTGAAAGACCCAAAATGTGTTATTGCTGTGGGCTGTTTTTATACTAGCTCGTCATTCTTTAAGAACTGAGTTTGCTTTTTCCTTTTCCTTTTCCCTGTTGTGCCATTTTTATTATATATATATATATATATTACCTAGGCAGCTCATGTTCTCGTCATTTTCCTCCATGACGCTCAGTTTTGCAGCAGCATTCCCTCATCTCTGAAAAAGCCAATCAACATCTTGCAAGGTCATTGGACGCTAAGAAAGGAGGAAACAGAAAGAGAGAACTTGATGAATCCCCATATTCCCCCGAATAAACAGCTCAAAGCCAGTAATCAGGAAGAAGGTGGAGTTTGGAGTACATATCTTCAAATTTAAGGCAATTGCTTGGGGGGGGGCAGATTACCAGCGTAGGATAGAATGGTGTCAGGGTAGTTGTAAGAGTGCTAGACTAAATCCACTCTCTCTCTCAGCCTAACTTACCTCACAGGAACATTGTGAGGAAGAAATGGGGAGAGGGAGAACCATGGAGGGAAAAATAGGTCCCTGGAGGGAAAAATAGGGTCATAAATTCTTATTATTATACCCCACCCATCTGGCTGGGTTTCCCCAGCCACTCTGAGTAGCTTACAATATATAAACAATGTTATAAACAATATAACTTCCGATACAGGGCTGCCTTCAGATGTCTTCTAAAAGCTACGCACAGCCAATCAGAAGCCGCGCTTTGCTTTCCGAATGTTTTGGAAGTCAAATGGACTTCCGGAATGGATTCCGTTCGACTTCCAAGGTACAACCGTAGTTGTGTTGAGTTATTTCAACTGCTTTTGTTTGATTTGTTCATTGCAAACAGCTGAGAGTCTGTAAACTTTGATAATAAACCTGATTTGCAATGGGGATTGAATAATTTCGATTGCAAGTGTATATAAAATTATTTGGAGAGGCCCAAAGGATCTTTCTTTAAAAAATGGGCAACGCACACTTCTGCAAAATCACACAATCAATAAAGAGAAAGGTGGGGCCCTTTGAACCCTGCAAAATATTTTTCTGTACAAAATTATTACTGTAATTCATTTCATGGTGTAATAGGAATTTTATGCTCTTAAATATATGATAATGTTCATAAGTGTACCAACCAAGCACATACATAGATCAGCACAGGAAGGCAACCTGGAACCATTTTGATTCCTAAACTGAGCAAATGTTTTCTCTGCAAGGTCAAAATGGAAAAGCCTCCCCATCGTCTTTTCCTTCACAAATCCTGTCTTAAGGGTATGTCTGTGTTTGAATAGGGTGTGAGCCTGTGACCTGGCCCAGAAACTAAGTATTTATCATTACAAAAGGCTGGCCAGGCTACCCAGGAAATCCAATCAAGTAACCTGCCAGACAGGAGATAAACAAAAACAGGAGAAAAACAATATTAAAATTTCTATTTTGTACCGCCTCTTCTGTGATGTATATATGATGTTTCAGGGGGTGGTCTTGATCTACAGGTGGCAATTTCAAAAGTCTTTATAAGGCCTTGCACACCATTTTTCTGGGTCCTTCCTCTCTCCTGCAAGTGAGGGGAGCACCCTGTTGCAACAGTTCAATAAAGGCCAAGCCTACAGGCTGCTGTTTTGCTCCAAGTAATCCTGGTTGGTGTCTTTGTTTTTGTCCAAGGGACCCCTCGGATTTTTCCATTAACAATGGTCATACTGATTTATATACTTTAAAGGGGAAAAAATCTCAGAGCGCTTTGCAACACATTAAGTTCAGAATAAAACATTACTGGGTAAAGTAATACTGTACTGTATATAAAATACACATTCAAAGCAACGTATATTATCTTAATTTTTTCCAAAAGAACACATTACAAAGGAGGTCAAATACAGACTGCACATTTGACGCAGCAAAGTTAAACAAAACCATTACCTTAGACATTTCAAAAAGTTTGCTAGATCAGAGAAAGCAGAACGCCTTGCAGCTCGCCCCCGTTCACTTCCTGTCTGTACTACCTTAGCAAGAGGCGAATCTCCCTCTTGTCGAGCCCCACCTCCCTACATAATTGATAATTCGTAAAGACCCTATCCTTTCTCTCGGCCGCCTTCCAGGAGCACAAAGCGGGGCTGCAAAATCATGCAAGAGAGAAGCGAAAGCAAGAACTCAGATCACTCGAGAAGGGGCTCCCCGTCTTCCTGATCCAAGGTCAACGCACACCCCCCCCCCAGAAATAAAGGGGTCCCTTCTGATCCCACCCTTACCAGCTTTTGCAAAGTGGACACCAGAGGCTTTTGCTGCAAATCTTGCAAATCCTTCCTGCCCATCCAACAGAGGCAGCTGACCTGCCGCATTGCAGCTGCAAGGGAGGCTGGGAGATAAAGAGCTGCTGGGAATTGTAGTCTCTTGTAGCCTAAAAAAAAAAAAAAAAGAGGTTTCTGGGAAGTGTAGCCTGTTCCCTTTTGCGTCGTCTACGCGCAAAAACCTCCCGAAGCGCACGCTGCAAAAGCTAGTAAGTGGCTTGATCAGAAGGGGCGGCCACGTAAGGGTTAAGGAGAGCGAGAGAGCCCGGTTGCCTAGAGCGGCCTGGGAAAGGCCCCTCTCTCCGTCCTTCCGACTCGCCTCCTCTTTCCGCTTGTCTTGGGAGGCCTCTGGGGCGGTGAGTCCTTTGGGCGAAGGGGAGGCTGTGGGGCGACGGGGAGGTGCAGAGGGGGCTGCTGGGGGGCTGAGAGATGAATGGGAGGATCCCCTGGGTGGGGGGAATGGAAGCCATGGGACCCAAGGCCTCTGAGGTCCCAGCACACCCCACCCACCCATGACCCCGGGGGGGGAGTGGGTTGTTTGGGGGCTCAGAAGTGGGCGCCCCTTGAGAAGAGGGGGCTCCAAGTGGGGAAAGAGGGTGGGCCTCCATCTGTGGCAGACGCTTTCCTTGCGACCCCTGCATTGCAGGGGGTGGTCTAGATGACCCTAGGGGGTCCCTTCCAGCCCCACAGTTCTGGGGGGTGGAGCATAGGAGCCAAATCCGTGGGACCGTGAGGGCTTTGGCCACCACAATAAAACACTTTTTTATTATTTTTATTGGTTTTCCACAGTTTTTATAAACACAAACAATACAAAATACAAACAAACAAACACACAACAAACATGTATAATTTCATATCCCTTTTTCATAAATCTTACTTCGCCGACTTCCCCATACCTCCCCTTTCTACATCCCAATTTCCAAAATTATTTCAGCAAATCCTAAAACTTGGTTTTATCAAATTTTCCCCTTATTCTTTTCTTTTACTTAATCTTTTACAGCTGTAAACCCCTTTTCCCCCTAAAATCTCGACATTTTAGCACTCATTAATTTTACAGTGTTTCTTAAGATAAGCTTTGAATTTCTTCCAATCTTCTTCCGCCGTCTCTTTCCCCTGGTCTCGGATTCTGCCGGTCATTTCAGCCAGTCCCATATAGTCTATCACCTTCATCTGCCATTCTTCCAGAGTGGGTAGATCTTGAGTCTTCCAATACTTTGCAATGAGTACTCTTGCTGCTGTGGTGGCGTACATAAAAAAAGTTCTATCTTTCTTTGACACCAATTGGCCGACAATGCCCAAGAGAAAGGCCTCTGGTTTCTTAGGGAAGGTACATTTAAGTACCTTTTTCATTTCATTATATATCATTTCCCAGAAAGCCTTAACCACAATAAAACACTTGAGGGGGCTTGTGTCACATGATCAGATATGTGGGGCGGGGCTTGAGAGAAGGCGCTCCATCTTGGACGAGGAAATCTCCGGAGGGCGTGCCTTGGCTTCTCCCTCCTATCCAGGAGCCTCCTTAAAGTCACATCCATAAACGGGGGGAAGGGGGGTCCCAATTCCCTTTCTCCCCGTTCCTGCGAGGAAACTGCATCTCCCTCTAGGACTGGGACTAGACCATTGGGCCACCTGGATCAGTGTTGCTGACTCTTGACTGGTATCAATCTTTCTTTAGGGTTTCACAGGCAGGGAGTTCCTCTCAGCCCTCCCTGGCTGGGGATTGATCCTGGGAGTTTTAGGCATGCAAAGAAGCTTCCCACCTAAATCTGGTTGGTCACCCTGAGAACAGGAGGACTAGGTGGGTCCTTGGCCTGATCCAGCAGGACTCTGGTGATGTTCTTTTTTTCATTATTTGCTTTTTATTGAGTTTTCCACAAACAAACAAAAAGAATAAAACAATCTTTTACAGTCAACATTTTAAGTCATCTTATTTACACTGCGTATCCTCACGCCTCGACTTCCTTCCTTCCCTGCTTCGGTTTTCTTGAAAGTATATCCCCTCCTGTAGATTCTTATTCTCCTATACATATCACAGGAATTATGTTAACCCTGCCATAGTTTTTAGGCTTCTGCAGTTTATTCTTATGTATGCCACAAATTTACCCCATTCTTCATCGAACTTTGTCCCTTTTTGGTCTCTTATTCTATATGTCATTTTAGCTAATTCTGTATATTCGAAAAATTTAGCCTGCCATTCCATTACCGCGGGAGTCTCTTGTAGTTTCCATTTTTTAGCTACAAGTATTCTAGCTGCTGCAGTAGCATATTGAAATAGTTTATGGTCTCCCTTTTTTACTTCCTACCCTATTATCCCTAATAAAAAGATTTCAGGTTTTTTAGGAAACGTATACTTGAAAAGTTTTTAAAATTCATTATATATTAAGTCCCAAATTTTTTTAATCTTTTCGCACTCCCACCACATATGATAGAGATCCCCATCTTTGGATTTGCATTTTTGGTGATGTTCTTAAGAGTTGCTCCCCCTTCTCCTAAATGGGTGGGGGGAGAAGGAGGGAGGGAGACTGCAGTGCCAGAGTTCCAAGATGGCAGAGAGAAAAGGTAGACTAGAAAGGAAATGAGTGTTTTTTAATGGGAAAGTGAAGAAGTTTCTTTTTCAGGCATGACTCTGCTGGGGTTCAGGAGGAAGTCACCCTTATTTTCCTGTAGGAGGAGTTGCTGGGGTGCCACTTAGGGAGGGAAATCTCTGCAAGGGTCTGGGGCTGCCTTGGCTTCTCCCCCCTCCCAGAACATCACAACCTGTTTAAACTTTGGGCTCTGCATGATAGTTTAAAAGAGGCTGGATCTGCAATCCAGAAATCGTCATCATCACTATCGGAGGCTGAGAGAGGTGTGCTGATTTCCAAGGGACTGTGGGTGAAGAAGGAGAAATGGATGGGTGGAGGCTGGAAGGGAAAGCAGCCCCCCCCCCAAAGTGAGCAGAAAAGTCAAGAAAGCCCTGGCTGGAGAAAGGGAGTGGAGCAGTCTTCTCCATAGTCTCTCACCTGGTGCATGTTTTGGGTGTCCGAAGAGGAATATGCAGAGCAGCCCTGTGCAGATTTACTCACAAGCAAGCCCTGACAGGGAGAGCACAGACTGAATTGGTATCACCAAAGAAACTTTAAAAATGGGGCTCTTGTTGGGACGGGGGTTCCCCATTTGGAGAGTCTGTGTGGTTAAGAGCGGTAGTCTCATAATCTGGGGAACCGGGTTCGCGTCCCCGCTCCTCCACATGCAGCTGCTGGGTGACCTTGGGCTAGTCACACTTCTCTGAAGTCTCTCAGCCCCACTCACCTCACAGAGTGTTTGTTGTGGGGGAGGAGGGGAAAAGGAGATGGTTAGCTGCTTTGAGACTCCTTAGGGTAGTGATAAAGCAGGATATCAAGTCCAAATTCTTCCTCCTCTTCTTCTTCTCCTTCTCCTTCCCCTTCTTCTCCTTCTCCTTCGGCTGTAGAATGTTTTGGGCAGGAGAATCCCTGCAGGGCCTCTGAGGCTCCCTTTGCTTCTTCCTCCCTCCCAGGAACCTGCATCTTCTGAGCTCCTCAGGAAGGACCAAAGCGCCTGAACCTGCCAACCTAGCAAGGATGGAAGGAGGAAGATGGACAGATGACCTTGTCAGACTGCCTCCTGCATCCCTCCCCAAAACCTCTGGGCATTTTCTCCCAGGGCCCTCAGAGACATTTGGTGAGTTCCAGGGGAATGGAGATGGGGACATAGATGGATGAAGAGGAAAACCTTTTCCCAGTCATTTGAATTTTAGGTGCTATTTCCACTGCAGGGGATTGCACAAGAGGGCCCGCAGGGTCTCTTCCAAGTTTACATAGAATTGCTCATATACTACCCTTCATCTAAGCATCACTGCACAGCTTGCAATATAAAAACAGAAAACCTGGCTTGCCAGTAGTACATGTCTCAGGGCCTTAGTACACCACAAGCTTAACATGGTCAAGGGTCAGGAAACCAAGCCTTATGAGGAATGGCTGAGGAAGCTGGGTATGCTTAGTCTGGATAAAAGGAGACTGAGAAGAGATATGCCATCTTCAGATATCTGTCTTCACATATCTAAAGTGCTGTCATGTGAAGATGGAGCAAACTTGTTGTCTTCATCTCTGGAGAGTAGGACCTGAACCAATGGATTCAGATTACAAGAAATGTGAATCCAATTATACGTCAGAAAGAATTTTCTGATGGTAAAAGTTGTTTGACAGTAGACACCCTCTGAAGGTGGTGGACTCTCCTTCCTTGGAGGCTTTTAAGCAGAGGTTGGATGCAGAGTCGAGATTGCTACACTGCAGAAGATATTGGACAAGATGACCCTTGTGGTCTCTTCCAAGTGTACATAGAATTGTTCATATACCACCCTTCATCTAAGCATCACAGAAAATAGAAAAATACAAAACATTGTAACAACCGAAACAGAACCCCTCCCCCAATTTAAAGAGACGATTTAATTAGGCAAAGGCCTGGGGAAAGAGGAAAGTTTTTATTTGCTGCCTAAATTGTAACACCTGGCATTATAATAATTTGACATTATTATAGCTGCATTACTAAAAAAAATGGAAAAAGAAAAGGGAGAACGTAAGAGATATTGAAATAAGAGGTGCTATTTTCACTAGATGTGTGAAAGCCCGTCTCTACCTGGTGGTGCAACTGGCGCGGCTCACCAGGGACCCTGGCATTACTATATTTTGGCAATATGTTAGGTGTATTCTTAAAAAATTGGAACATGAAAAGGGAGAACATAAGAGAAATAAGAGGTGCTATTTTTGCCAGATGTGTGTTATGTTACTTATTCCTCTTTCTTGGAAGCCTAACAGGATTTTCTTTCCTTCCCAAGCAGCTGATGGAAACAATAGTCAGAATTCCAAGATTTCACCTGGAATTTCATTGAAGAAACCATTTAAATGTATGGAGTGTGGAAAAACATTTGCTAATTCTGGAAGCCATAGAACACATCAACGGATTCACACAGGAGAAAAACCATTTAAATGTTTGGAGTGCGGAAAGTGCTTCATTAAGCATGCATCCCTTAGTTCACATCAAAGAATTCACACAGGGGAGAAGCCATTCAAATGTATGGAGTGCGGGAAATGTTTCAGGTGGAAGTATTACCTTACTACACACCAGCGAACTCACTCAGGGGAGAAGCTATTTGAATGTATGGAGTGTGGAAAGTGTTTCAGGTTGAAGCAATACCTTACTACACACCAGCGAACTCACACAGGGGAGAAACCCTTTAAATGTATGGAGTGTGGGAAGACTTTCGCAGATAGTGGAACCCATGCAAAACACAAACAAACTCACTCAGGGGAGAAGCTATTTGAATGTATGGAGTGTGGAAGGAGTTTCAGGTGGAAGCAACGCCTTACTTTACACCAGCGAACTCACACAGGGGAGAAACCATATGAATGCGTGGAGTGTGGAAAATGTTTTAGGTGGAAGCAAGACCTTACTACACACCAGCGAATTCACACAGGGGAGAAGCCATTTAAATGCATGGAGTGTGGGAAGACTTTCGCAGATAGTGGATCTTATGCCAAACATCTACGAATTCACACAGGGGAGAAGCCATTTAAATGTATGGAGTGTGGAAAGACTTCCTCAGATAGTGTATCCCATACACAACATCTACGAATTCACACAGGAGAAAAACCATTTAAATGTAATGAGTGTGGAAGGTGCTTCAATCAAGGTGGAAACCTTAAAAAACACCTACAAATTCACACAAGGGATAAACCATTTAAATGTGTGGAGTGCGGGAAGACTTCCGCAGATAAAGGATCCCACATAAACCATCTACGAATTCACACAGGAGAAAAACCATTTACATGTACGGAGTGCGGAAACTGCTTCAGTCACAGTGGAAACCTTAAAAACCACCTACGAATTCACACAGGGGAGAAACCATTTAAATGTGTGGAGTGTGGGAAGAGCTTCAGTCAAAGAGGAAGACTTAGAAAACATCAACAAACTCACACGGGATGAAAAAGCATTTAAACGTGTGCAGTGTGGAAAGTGCTTCAGCTAATCACACCTCTGCCATTGCTTTTTCCGCTGCCACCACCCCGTATCTTACGGGGACACACGGAGTCCAGTCAGTTGTTAACATAAACAAATATTCAAGTTTATTTTTAAATGCAGGAACAAGCTTATGGTTTCAGTTACAGATAGGTAGCCGTGTTGGTCTGCCATAGTCAAAATAAAAAAAATCCTTCCAGTAGCACCTTAAAGACCAACTAAGTTAGTTCTTGGTATGAGCTTTCGTGTGCATGCACACTTCTTCTAACAACTCCAAACTGATTATTCCAACTATCTATCTGACTCCACCTAACAATTCCTTTCACTCTCTCACAATACAACTCTACCAAGCCACACCTAATCCTCTCTCTTCCTTCTTCAACTACCAAACCTCAACCCAACTGAACTCAACTCTCAACTCCCAAACCTCAACTGACTTTCAAAACCGCCCACTCTTTTACTCCCCCCTTGCATTCTCACTGGCCAATCACATCATACCCATTTTAACCCTTTCCTTATGACCTACCTAGGAGGCAAACGCCACGGGGGGGGGTGTCCATGAGAGCACCTATCCTCAAGCAAGGCTGTATTTTAACCGAGCCCCCAAATCTGGCGCTTCTGTGCAGGATCAGGATCCTCTCGACACTTGGTCTGGTTTTTCCTTGGGTGGAATGCCAATCGGGATTCAGGCCTCGTCATGGGACTGAAACTGCCTTGGTCGCGCTGGTCGATGATCTCCAGCGGGCTAGGGGCAAAGGTGAGAGCTGTTTCCTAGTTCTGCTGGATCTCTCGAGGACCTCAGATTCCCATAACCTTTATTTGGCTTTTTTCCAGAAGAGGAAAAATTCTTCGCATGCATCCCAACCCCAAAGAAATGAAACCATTGAAAATTCAGTTTCTCCCAGTTTATTATTAAGGAGTGGTTTCTTTCCTTATTTATGTGGAAAAACAAGAAATGCATTACAATGCTAGTTTTAAGGAACAACATTCACGTCACAGATCTTTTTTCTTTTTCCTTTCTCCTCCTGTGATGAGGCTGCATTTTAATATTTTAATGTTTCAATATTTTAATGTATTTTAATCCTTGTTTTTAAGTTGTATTCATTCAACTTGTTTTTATTTTTGCTTGTTAGCCGCCCTGAGCCCAGCCTTGGCTGGGGAGGGTGGGGTATAAATATTATTATTATTATTATTATTATTATTATTATCATCATCTGTTGAATTTATTGCTAGTACAAATGGTCAGCGGGATGGGGTGGTGGTGGTGCTAATCTAACCTCCAATCACAGGTAAAGATGACAGGAACTCAGGCAAATGTACTCAGATCAGGCCTCAACGTATCATTTGGTGAATAATGATACAGTCCAGTAGCTTAGCATTGGAGGCCAAGATAGAAAAGACTTGCACAGTTACCATGTACTTCCCCTTGGTGCTCAGGTAGGTGGGAACAAAGGACACCCAAACACTGCAGAAGACCAGCATGCTGAAGGTGGTCAGCTTGGCTTCATTGATGGGCACAGACTAGGAAAGGGCGCTGGCTAGGAAAACCAGTGTTTAATCAGATGGCTTCCAGGAAGCCCATGTAACCAAGAGCACAATAAAACATGGCAACAGACCCTTCATTGCACTGCAGGGTGATTGGTCCAGGCAAGGATTTTTGCCATCGAAATACACTGCAGACATCCGATCTCCCTGGAGACCAAGAGATGTGACGATAAACTGCTTTGCCTCCTTTCCTTTTAGCAAATGTGCCACTGGGGAAGTGGTAATTCTGTATTGATTTGTTTTGGATGTTGTATGTGATGCCAATAAAAGGTATGATGATGATGATGATATCAGACTCTGGGAATGAGGAAGAAATTGCCTGCCAGATGGTGCAGATCATAGAATCATAGAGTTGGAAGAGACCACAAGGGCCATCGAGTCCAACCCCCTGCCAAGCAGGAAACACCATCAGAGCACTCCTGCCATATGGTTGTCAAGCCTCTGCTTAAAGACCTCCAAAGAAGGAGACTCCACCACACTCCTTGGCAGCAAATTCCACTGTCGAACAGCTCTTACTGTCAGGAAGTTCTTCCTAATGTTTAGGTGGAATCTTCTTTCTTGTAGTTTGGATCCATTGCTCCGTGTCCACTTCTCTGGAGCAGCAGAAAACAACCTTTCTCCCTCCTCTATATGACATCCTTTTATATATTTGAACATGATGACAACTTGGATACTGGAACAGGAAATGACAATGGAGTTGGCCAGACTCACAGCTCTCCGGAGTATAAACTACAGTATCCAGGTTTATTTGAAGCCGTGACTCTTAGAGAGATTTAGATGTGCTTGCAACGTGTTCAGTGGATGGTATATTTTTCTCCTGCTATAGCCTTCTCAAGCAATGGGGGACCATTGGGTAAGCATCACAGGACAAACTAATGCAGAATGCACCTTCCCCCTAATACTGTGTCAAGAACATGTTGCAGAATAGACCCTCAATAAAACACCAGTCTGAAGGTGTTCATTAAATGAAGGTAGAGGTGGGCACGCTTGTTCTTTTTGCTCATCATGTTATCCAGGGCAGCTATGTACCGTATTTTTTGCTCTATAAGACTCACTTTTTCCCTCCTAAAAATTAAGGGGAAATGTGTGTGCGTCTTATGGAGCGAATGAAGGCTGCGCGGCTATCCCAGAAGCCAGAACAGCAAGAGGGATTGCTGCTTTCACTGCGCAGCGATCCCTCTTGCTGTTCTGGCTTCTGAGATTCAGAATATTTTTTTCCTTGTTTTCTTCCTCCAAAAACTAGGTGCGTCTTGTGGTCTGGTGCGTCTTATAGAGCGAAAAATACGGTAGGTCTAAAAGTGCAGTGCAAGGCAGACAGCAACATGTGGGAGAAGAGCTGCCTCTATACCAAACAAGAATTAAAATATAATTTTAAAGAGTAAATGAGAACCACCCCCCACCCGCAAACAAGGAACCAGTTCAACATTTCGTAGAACTGAAGAGCCATACTATAGTCAATGAAAGTTTGCTCTATAATATAATTGTTCAGACTTTAAGATGCCACAAGACTTTTGGTTACTTTAAGATAGTGGTTCTCAACCTGTGGGTCCCCAGATGTTGTTGGACTACAACTCCCACCATCCCCGAGCTCTGGCCTTGCTAGCTAGGGGTGATGGGAGTTGTAGTTCAACAACATCTGGGGACCCACAGGTTGAGAAAGGCTGATTTAAGAGTTCTGTGTTCTTTCTCACTGAATGAAGAAGGCAACTCATGACACACTCTTCTGTGGCCTTTATATCTTAAATTAAAAAGAAACATAATGATCTAACCAAGGCGAGATAGTTTTGGGCAGCCTTGGTGACGGTTGCCAAGGATTTGAATGCTGGGGAAGGGACAATTGGGGCAGGGGGCAGTTTTTCAGGGGCAGATGAAAAAGGAATGGAGGGCTAGTGAAGAAGGGTGGGAGATGCCTTCTTAGGTTTGCCAACTAGTAGAAGCTGCAAGGGCACGTCAGAAGAAAAAGAGCATGAAAAAAGCTATGACTACTATGACTAAAATCCTGGGAATAGGAAGTTGTTCATTGTCATTGTACATGGAAAAAACCAGACAAAAAGTGACATGAACTTTAGCGGCTCAGACCTCAGGTGCTCAAACAATATGGAAGTTATTGCACTGGGGAATGCAAAACATAGACTCTGAATAGCAAACATTTCGGGCCCAGCGCAAGGAGAAATTACATCACCTTGCGCTTTGAAATGCTGTTGAGTTGATTTATTTCCACAGTCCATCTTTGGTTAAATCCCTGAGTAGAAGAAGAAAAATTATAAGGGGGAGTAGCATTGGCTAGGCAGTGGAGTCCTGGAGTCTCTGTGTGGTTTGAGGAGCAGGTGCAGTGCTGGAGGAAAACATGTTTACGAGAACTTTCAGAAGTATCTCTCTGATCTTGACATGGGTCAATGTGAGGGGAGAGGTGAACTTCAACTGGCCTTTACTGACAAAACAGCTTCATAATAGTCAAGAGGACCAATATACAGTGGTACCTCGGGTTACAAACACTTCGGGTTACAAACGCTTCGGGTTACAGACTCCGCTAACTCGGAAGTAGTACCTTGGGTTAAGAACTTTACTTGAGGATGAGACCAGAAATCGCACGGTGGCAGCGGGAGTCCCCATTAGCTAAAGTGGTACCTCAGGTTAAGAACAGTTTCAGGTTAAGAACGGACCTCCGGAACGAATTATGTTCTTAACCCAAGGTACCACTGTATTATTTTAGAGCATATATGAATATACATGCATAATATGGAGTGTTAGGGTTGTAACCAACCTTATTCCTACTCGAGTAGACCCATTGATATTAATAGATATGAGTAACTTGGGTTCATTGGGTGGGATTCTACTAACTTGAGAACACGAGAACATAACTTGTTGCATGCGTGAAGCAAAGTATACTCATGACAGGACCTTCTGCCTCTCCCCCACGAACACACATCCTAAATCTGTGAAAACTCGCTTTTACAATATCTGGGCTGTATCTGAATATAAACACAACATGGGGTTGTTACTTCTGAACATCATGAGCACATGAAACTTCCTTTCATTTATTCACTTCCTTTCATGTGTGAACTCTTCCTATGAAACAATAATAAATATATAGTAGGACCATTTCCTATATTAAAACAATTCCATATAGAAAAGCAATTTCACATTCAATACATATGCAAGATCTCCACTCAAGGTCACCCCCAAAATGAGACAGCTGCCTAAGGTGGCAGATGCCATGGGGCAGAGACAGGACAGAGCTGTGAGAGCCAGCTGTTCTGCCCTGTACCCCCCTACACTAGCTGGCTGCCCTCAAGTGCACTGGAAGATACACTACGTTCACCAGTATTGTGAATAAGATTCAGTTGCCATTCTGATTGGCTTCTGCATGTGCCTTGTGGGAGGGCATTGACTTGTCCTTCAGCTCAGTCATCAAAATGTCTTGACCCAGCGCTGTCTCTGCTTACAACCCTTGTTCAGAAAGTAAGGTTTTAAATAGGCACCAAAGTGATAGCAGATATGGTTGCGTACATCAGCACCTTCTATGTCAGAA